TGTTCCCCTGACACAGCCTCCCTGTGCATGTCACTCCCTTCTTACACCTCTGCTCAAGGCTTATCACTCATGTAACATTTATTTGAAGCTAATTTATTCTAAACAGAATAAAGTGACATATCTAAAAGAAATAATTTGAAGGCCTCTTTTAACAGTTTTTTCATTTTAATAGATTAACATACAATTTTAATGTAAATAACCTCATTGTTTTTAAAAAGTATTTTTTTTTTTAAGATTTATTTATTTATTTAAGAGAGAGAGCCTGCACATCCTGGGCAGAGGGGGAGAGAGAGAGAGCGTGTTAAGCATACTCTGTACTGAGTGAGTGTGGAGCCCCACACGGGCTCCATATCACGACCTTAAGATTACGACTTGAACCGAAAACCAAGAATCGAATGATTAACAGACTGCACCTCCCAGGGACCTCTTAAAACGTGGTTTTTACTACTTTTCTGGGAGTTGGAGTAGGGTGCTCTGTGCAGTTTATTTCATGATGTATGCTGGGTTTGCATTTGAATATTGAAACATACACAATTATAGAGTGTTGGGGAAGTATGAAATGCTATATTTTGTTTTATTAGAAGGACCATTGCATTTACTTCATCTATTTTTTCTTAGTGTTTGGAAGAAAAGGAAGCACATCTAGGGTAGGATTCTTTTTTTATCTCTTTTTAAAAAGAACATTAATTTATTTTAAAATTCTACGATTATTGGGACACTGTAGAAATACCAGGAAGTATGAATGAGGTAAAAGGAGACTACACATCTGTGATCATCTCACCTCTGTTATCACGTCTTATGAACACATGCATGTCTTGGCAACGTTTCTAATCACTTATGTTTTGATGATGACTTAGAGGAGATTTCATTTCATTCAGTTAACTCCAGTTCTTCTTTCTAAGGGTATTTGGCTCAAAAGACCTATTTTAATTTCTGTAGTACTACAAGCCTTCTAGGGCTTTTGGACATATATCCTCCTAGTTTCTTGATCACTTATGTCTTTGTATCAGATATTATCTGGAGAAAAAGAGAAATTGATCCCGAGGATGAGATTTTCAGAAATTAGTTTATAGGTGAGATGACCTGTTCAACCGAAGCACAACAGCGGGCTGGCATGAGAGGGGTTGCTAGATCTCTATGGACTCTCCAGTTGATTCTTTTTCCTGTCCAACAAATGTGTCCTTCAGGGTATAAATAATAGAGTAATTCTTTGGTACTGATCTCCCGTCATTGATATTACTTAGCACTATGCAACTTGAGGGCTTTTAATACCTAGTTGAAAGAGCAGAACTCATTGATACCTTTGGAAATATTTGGTCCATTTTCAAAGGTTGACCTTGTTCTCACATAGTATGAATTGCTATTTGAAGACATATTTTTGACAAGTACAAAAAGTTGATATAAATAAATCTTGTAGGCTAATGAAAAACAGTTGCTTTTAATCTATCTCTGCCTTTCCTCTTTGAAGACCAGTAACAGCTATCACGATTTACCTAAAAATATTAATTAACAGACACAAATATGGTCTTAAGGCCCCATGTAAAGGCTGATAGGTGGTTCTTTTGCAGCTAAAAGCATGTTTCTCTTGCTTTTTAATTTCATCCCTTCACTCTCAACTCTTCACTTTGCTTCTAGCCCCACTCCCTGAGCAAATCAGAGCCAATGAACTGATACAAGATTCTTCAAGTTCCTTATTTTTTTATCTCCAAATTTCCCTGTAGTATTTTCACCAGTTTTCTTTTTCCCCTGTGTTTAAGTAGAAAGTTGTCCCTCTCTTTCTTTCCAAGTTAATCCAAACAAGCAGCCATGGTTTCCTACCTCCATCATCAGTTATCTACCCCCCAATCTGGATTTCCTTCATGGAGATTCCTTTATTTGAAACATATCTTTGGCACAAGAGTTTGCCATTGGTTATCCTAATATATCTTTCCTCTCCCACCTATCAAGCTTCATGCCCAACTAGTAAGTGTGGGTTACTTCCATTTCACCATCTACTCTTACTACAACTCTGTTTCCGGCTTTCTGCCCCTACTACTCTAGAGAAACTTCTCTTTTGAGGTTCGTAAGTTTTTTTTTTTTTTTTTTTTTTAATACACAAGTCAGAGAGACAACATCCATTGTGATTTTTTACTGCATTTGACACTGTCGATGGCCCCCATTGTTACATATCCCCTTTCTGACTTCCATGACCTTCACTTGTCCATTCATCTTATTAATTATGGAGACTATTTGTGCATCATTTGATGGCTTATTTATCTCTTTCATATCTCTGCTCTGTTGGTTCTCCCATCCTTCCCAAAGAGAATATATTACTCTTATCCCTAACAGTATATATTAAGTACCTAATTAGTGCCCGAGAATATAAATGTGAATAAAACAGACCTGTGGGTTCTCCCTCTCAAAACTGACTGTATAGCAGGGACGACAGACATTAAAGAAATAGCTCGAAAATGAGTGGATTACACTGTGGCAAGTGCTCCAAAGGCTCTCCTCCCCTCCCTACTCCTCCTGTACTGAGGGCTTTCACTCAACTGAGGTGACAGTGAGGGACCTGATGCTGTAATTGTGCACAGCACTTACACGCGTGAGGGGCAGCCTGTTGAGAGTATTTTAGGTGGCTGGGGGAGCAACAGCAAAGGAAGGAAGTACCCCAGCATCTTGAGGAAATGTTGAGTAATGCAGTACAATGTGGATCTGGGGTGCATGCGAGTGAGAAGTGGAACTGTAGAAATTGAGTGGACCGCAGCAGGTTCTGTGTCTGATCCACTGCCAAGTGTTTTATATACTTCATCTCCGTTATTCTGACAAAAATCTCAAAAAGAAGGTGGTATTAGCCCATTTTTCAGGGGAAGACTCTGAGGCCCAGAAAGGCTCATTAGGTCAGAAAGACTCAAAGGACCATGGAGTCAGCAAATGGCGCTACCTGAATTGAGTCACATCTTGCTCTTACCCTGAGCGTGGGCCGTTACTGGTACAGGTGGAGCCATCGTATCTCTGTGTGTGTGACGAGCTCTGCAAATGCTACTTTTATGACCCTGAATCTGTGCTCCTCGAGAACAGGGACCATTCATCCTTGTATTTTCTCAGGCTTCCTAGCATCTTGTCTTCCCCCAAGTAGATACTCTAACAGCAGGTGTTCAGTAACTCTGCTGACATCTTTCCATCACTCGTCACACACAAGTTTACATTAGAACTATTTGCCAGGTACCTTAACTGAAAAAAATTGCCAGGGCACATGACTGGCACTGCCTGAGGTTGGTTGGTTTGTTTTTAGATTTTACTTATTTATCTGAGAGGGAAAGAGAGAGAGAGAGAGGGAACATACCAGCGGGGGGGAAGGGCAGAGGGAAAGACAGAAGCAGCCTCCCCGCTGAGCAGGGAGCCTGATGCAGGGCTCCATCCCAGGACCCTGAGATCATGACCTGAGCTGAAGGCAGACGCTTAACCGACTGAGCCACCCAGGTGCCCCCTGCCTAAGTTTTGTACAGTTTTCTTAGTGTCCTCCTGTTCCCTTCCAGGGCTCATATGTACACATCCCACTAGACAAAAAAGAAATATATCAGTAATTGTCTATAATGGCAACAAAAATTGGAGATTAATAAGCTGCTCAGATCATGCAGGTGTGCAACAAAATGTAGGAATCACTACCTGTGTTGACTTTATCCTATGATTAGGTCTTGTCTTTTAAAACCTTGGAGGAGATTTGGATATTCAGAATACAGAGTAAATACAACTTCTAGAAGAGACCTGCTCCTAGCTTTTTTTTTTCCTTAAGAGGCAAATTTGAACACCTGAAACATTACTAATTATTTCTGCACAGGGTAGCAAGTTGGATTGTCAGCATATACAAATGTATATTTTTGGGAGAGTATAATAAAAAAGGAATCAGTGCAAAGAAAAGTGGTAACCTGACTGCAAGTGTGTGAGAAAGACCCAATGATGGAAAGTGGCAGAAGCTGAGAGAGAAAACAGGCTCTTGTTTCAAGAGTATAAAAGCAAAATGCAACTGTGTGCAGAGTTTTTGTTTTGTTTTTTAAATAAGTCAAATTAAGCATGGGATTCTCCAAGTCTCAAGGCTTTTGCCCTTTTTTGTAGCCATTATGAACATAGTACAGTCAGTCTTCCCTGGGAGATAGTCTCATGCAAGCTCCTTAGAATTAGTTACTGTTAGGAAGGGTAAGTGCCTATCATGGACAAACATATACAAAAAGCTAAGGAAAGGGGATGTACTGAGGCATAGAGCTTGGAATTTTACTAAGAAAATGGAAGAGTGTAGAATTTGTTTAGCGGTATGTGTGTGTTTTTCTTATGCTGTCACTAAGTATTTTCTTTTCCCTTGTGGGAAAAATAGTGCTTGAATTTACTGTGTCTGTGGAACAGGGGTGGAGGTGGTCCAGTAGAGGAAGTTGATGTATAACATGTTTGCATTTCCAGCTGTTTGCCTCACACCTAATGAGACCTGCCCTCTTTATTGTTTTGTCATTTGGAAATAAATATGCATACACCTCACAACAGTCATGTTGGAAGCCAGTGGATCATTTTTCTCCTCAAAGCACTTGAGGATCCTAGCAAGATCATTTTTTTTTAAATTTAATATTTAATGATGCCATATATAGAAAACCAAGCTTGCTAAGAAATAACATTTTCCTTACGGAAGAAGTATGACTAGATAATATGTAATATGATGTGAAATTATTACCATGTCAAATTTTAAACAATGAAAAGTTTTCAAGAGTCAAAACTTACTCTGGAGGGTACGCCCACATCAAATGCTTCTATTAAGACTTCAGGTCAGTTGACACTTTTTTTTTTAACTTTAGCAAGTTCCAAACTGGAAAAACAAGGGTGTTGCCAGTGGAGGTTGAGGTGAATTGAAAGGTGGGTGGGATGCCACCAGCGCAAGCCAGCATGGAGATGCTGTGGTTAGTGCATTTCATGGATGTGAAATGCAACCCCACCCCTGCAAACAAGGGTTTCAAAATGTATTTTCTGTTTTTCAGGATGAATCTTCAAGTCATGAATGTAACCAGCGCACAATCCTTCTTTATGGAGTGGGCAAAGAGCGTGATGAAGCGAGGCATCAGTTGAAGAAGATTACCAAAGATATTTTGAAAATCCTAAATAAGAAGAGCACCACAGAGACGGGGGGTAAAGAACCTTAATGCATTTGCTCCCATTGTGCTGTCTTTTGCCCTTCCTCTTAGCACGGTCTTTATCAAAGTCATACATGACACTGTCACCAGAGTGTTTCCTCTCCTGAATGACTGTCATATTGAAATGTGAATAAGCATATTGAAATTTTAATGCCTTGGTTCTATTTATAGTAATTCTTATATTAAAATACCGTGTTCTATAGATAGATATAGGTAATTTTAATTTTCTACTCTTTTGTTTTTATTCTTCCCAAATTTTCTACAGTAGGCATAAAGAAGTACTGAAGAAGGAGTTGGAAAACCCTTAATCTGGAAAAGTTCCATTTCTTCAATTCTTTACCATCCTTTTTTTAAGCTTGTAGTTTGCTCTGTGTACTCACATTTGCACGATAATTGAAAATCATGATAGTGTAGTTGCTGATCTTGTCTTTATTCAGAAGAATAATTGTAATATGTAGTGGTGGCTACCCATAACACCAAATTATTTTGACTAAAAAAGAAAATTGGGTCTTTGTTCTATAATGCCTTCTTTACTTGGAATAGTCTTTTCACATGCTCTTGACATAGATTTTTTACAGTGAAGCTATGCCTTTACATTATGTCACCACATTGCATAATTGGAATTCTTTAATTATCCACTTCACATTTGCCTAATTACTCTTTTTAAGGATTGTTTATTTTATCAGCCAGTCATAAGATTTAAAATATGATATCATTATATATACTTCACTACCATTACTGGTGTTTATTTCTTTATTGTGTAAATAATCAAAGAAAAAAAAGTTTGAATTTTCTCTATGCAAACAGTGTTCTTCCTACACATGGCATAAACCACTCTAGGAACCCTGCTTTGTTGGCCAGTACAAAATACATATATTTTTATGAACCTTTTCACAGGGCCTTCAGTCTTTAGTCTTTAACCAGGTGATTTACTTAGAGATTGCCCACACTAGACCTTTCCTAGAGAAAGTACAGAGAGAACTAATACAAATGGCTCTGTGTCCTCTCCATCAGTGGGGGAGCACATGCAGAAACAAGGTACAAGGACAATATGCTTTTTGAGTGTGAATGTGGTGTTGCAGGTGTCTGATGTCTGAAGCAGTTGTCTTTAGAACATAATGAAAGAGTTACCTCAGGTGATTTACAACAGTTCCCTGACTCCTCTCCCTTCCATGGCCACTGAAGGACCTTGTACCACACTGGCCTCATGAGGGAACAACCAAGAGTTGTGGATGGGAAATGAAACCTTGTTGTTGTTGGCCTGTCATTCTTAAGCTTGGTTTAAAAAAAAAAAAAAAAAAATCAAAAACCCAGAAACAAAGAACCTGCTCTAAGAAAAACTGTTGATCCTCTTGTTTTGCTGTTTTCCTCTGTTAGAGAAAAGAGGAAATGGATTGCATGTAGAAGGTTGAATTTAGAAGTGCTATAACTAGCTAGCAAAGAGATTCGAAACTTCTTTTTGTTTACTTGGAATCGGATGGCCACTGTCTTCTTTAGAAGGGTCAGGGAAACATATTTCATCAAAATTAATTTTAGACAGTCTTTCCTGATCTTACGGAATTTTGGGGTTTGGAAGGGTTTGGAGGGGTCAGAAGGGGAAGGAAACAGTGCGGTGTCCTTTTTTGTTGAGCCTATTTCCTTCCTTCACAACGAGTATTTAATGCGAGACTATGTACAGTCTATCCTATCTCTGTACCATTCTCTTAAATAGGCAGTTCTTGCTTATGATCTCACAAAGAGAAAATCATTGTTGTTTGATACTACTTTTTGAGATAACCAACAGTGAAACCATCGCTGTGGAGATATATTTGCAATGGGGATTTTTGTCTTTCCCTCATTTTATTTTTTACTTTTTAAAGATTTATTTATTTTGGAGAGAGTGTGCATGAGCAGGGGGAGGGGCAGAGGGAGAGAAACTCAAAACAGACTCCACCATGAGCGGGAAGCCCACCCAGGGGCTTGACCCCACAACCCCGAGATCATAACCTGAGCCGAAACCAAGAGTCGTATGCTCAGCCAACTGAGTCACCCAGGTGCCCCTGTCTTTCCCCCGTTTTAGATAAAATTCCTCAATCAGAAATATGTTAATTTAGGTTTAGTGAGCTGTCTTCTGATAAATAGTCAAAGTTTGAGTCACTACTTAAAACCTAGTATGCTCACCAGAAGCTAGGTAGCTGTACTTCTGATTAATGGTGATTTGCCCACTGTTTACTGGTAAGGAAGGGAAACAGAGCTTGTGTTAGTGTGTCTTTGATTTCTGGCTACATATAAAAGTATGGTTTTGAGGAACTCATTAGAAGTGTTCTCACATCAGCCAGGCCAGTAGGAGTTCAAATGACACTTTCCACTTGAGCATGGTCGATCTTCATTTTCCATTTACATTGGCCAGTCATCTTTGGTTGTCACTGTATTTTTTAAACATTAATGAAGTTTACCATGACAATAAAGTCCAATATTTCCAGGATTTAAAGATTTTTTTAAAAAAGGGAAACCAAAATTAAGAAAAGAGCAATAAAATGTATTATGAAAACAAATTAACATAAAACAGATGAGGAAAATCCATGGATTATGACTACATTGTTATTTATGTAAATATCATGAAAATGAAATAGTCCATTGAGAACCACCACTAATTTCTTAAAATTTTTAAAAAAATGAATGTCAACTGCCAAGAATCCAATTGAATGAGATTTTTAAGAAGTTAGCTAAATGTAAGTAAAATACAGCCTATTTAGCATAAACCAAAAAAAAATGTATTTGTGAATTCTCATGCAGGTGTACTTCCTCAAATGTGTTATTTTTTGCTTGTTTATTTGTTTTGGCCCCAGGAAGGACTGATTAAATATGTTAACTTCACTTTTACAGCATTTTGTACCCAAGACCATTGATGTGAGTTTTCAGCCTTGGGATCAATGATGTTAGCTCATGAAATATTCCAAACTTGGATATTTTGAGCATGCTTATTACATGTGAGCAGCTAAAAAGAAGGCAAACGACCACACTTAATTTGAGAATAGATATTGAAAATCAAGTAGGTTGGGGCGACTGGGTGGCTCAGTTGGTTAAGCATCTGCCTTTGGCTCAGGTCATGATCCCGGGGTCCTGGGATCGAGCCCTGTGTTGGGCTCCCTGCTCAGCAGGAAGCCTGCTTCTCCCTCTCCCACTCCCCCTGCTTGTGTTTCCTTTCTCGCTGTGTCTCTCTCTGTCAAATAAATAAATGAAATCTTAAAAAAAAAAAAATCAAGTAGGTTTAATGAACTTCTGAGTTCTTACTCTTTGCATTAGATTTGGTGTTAACACAAGGGGCACAGTCTTGTACCTTCTGTTACTCATCACCTTTGAATTCTATGTACTCTGCTATCGGGGTTTGTTTGCTTTAGGAAATAAAACACCCTGGTGTGTGCACACCTGCGCCTATAAACTACACTTGCTTGTATTTGAAAGAAAATCTCTTCTAATGTTATTTTCTAAAACCATTATGTTTGCCTTCAGCAAGATCTTTTTGCATTCAGTGAAATATTTGTGTCTTTAATAGAAAAAAAAATCTGTAAAGTGACCTTTTGTTCTCTGAAAGTAAACTTTCCCAAATAAGAAGACGTGAGTGATGAAGCTCCCGTCTCAGTAGCCTTAGATTACTTAGATTCAGAGCGTTAGAAATGATCTTACAGATCATGTAATCCGACCTTTCTGGGTTTTTTAAGATTTGTCTTTATAAATGCATATATTTAAAGATATTTAAGACCGGATCTGATTCTTTTTGAATTGTTGAGAAGAACAAGAGTCCCCCTGGGAGAAGTAGTGTTTATAATATTTTTTTTCTGGAATTTTCTTTAAACTTCTTTATGCTAAATTGATAAATGTGGCACTTTCCCATTATGTGGAGCAATTTAATTCCTTGCTACCCCTAAAAAACTTTAAAATTGGGGAAATTTCCTTTTTTATATATTAAACTGTTCGGGAGAAATATCATGGTGAATGTCCTAACAAGATGCCAGTGAACTTTCTATTCTGTCAGTGTGACCCTGGGTGATTTTTTTTTCCCCTTTCATTGTTATCATATTTTAAGAGTTAGTGAGAAATGTTTATAGAGGTACTTCCCATTAATAGTCAAAATCTGGAAACTACTCACTAGAATGAATAAATAAATGGTGGTATATCACACGTTAGTATACTATCCATGAATGGGAATTAACTTAATTTTAGAACAAGTTAAAATTGCCTCAACAGTGTGGATCAATTCTCAGAAGCATATAGTTGAGTGAAAGCTGCCGGATGTGAAAAGTATCTCTCCTTGGTTCCAAAGTGGGCCATACTCATCCAAGCTTTTAGAGGTCAGCATCTTGATTCCCTGGGGCAGAGAGGTGACTAGAAGGAGCCTGAGGGGGTATCTAGGTTTCTGGTATGTGATTTTGTGATTTGAGTCTCATTACATGAGTTTACTTTGTAGAAATTCATAGTTTGTGCACTTCTCCATATATGTTATAGTTCAATAGAAAGTATCCCCTGAAAAAGTCAAGAGCTTCTATTAAATGGAAAGTAATGTATTCACTGTCTATTTAGTTGGAGATGAAGGACCAAAAGCCAGGAAGAGCAAACAGGAAGCATTTCCGACACTAGAGACTGTGTTCACAAAACTTCAGCTCCTTTCATATTTTGATCAGCATCAAGTGACGTCTCAGGTAGCTGTTTAAAGCTATGTGTTAAGCATTTGGTATATTCATATTTACTTCAAAATTTATTTCATGCAGTATATGTTTTTGGCCTTATTTGGTTGTATAGATATGTTTTTAAAACATATTTGGAATTTTGGAATCATCTCAAACTATTGAGTAGTTCAGTTTGAAGTGTCAGGTTGCCTTCTTCAGAGAAATTAATTTTTTTATCAAAATACTTTTGCCTTATGATAATAGTCAACACTGTGTCAGATACTCCCTAATGCAATAGTTATGTTATTACATTTTGGTCCTACATTGCTATGGGAAGGGAGAAATCTGTTGATGACTAAAATAAAATACTATCTAAATGAGCAAAAACCAGATCTGTGTTGTTTTACAAATCCACTGATACTCAGATAGATGTTATCTGGAAATTAATTAGCATTTGTAGTTGTTCTGCCATTAAGATAGGTTAAGATTTTAATGACCACTTGGCTTATTTCTTCAAATTATAGCTGTAGTAAGGAAATTGTTGGATTTGTATGTAGTTTTTGGTTTCTTTGGAAATAGGTTTTAACTTTTTTCTAAGTAGAATATATAAATTCAAATTTCTTAAAAAATTAAAATAATTTTGAATATTGATTTTACAGTTGTTTTCAATTTTGTTTGTTTTTGGTTGCCCAGATCTCTAACAATGTGCTGGAACAAATCACAAGCTTTGCTTCAGGAACATCCTATCATCTCCCTTTGGCTCACCATATTCAGCTTATCTTTGATCTTATGGAGCCAGCACTAAACATCAATGGACTAATTGACTTCGCAATACAGGTGTCAAAGAGACCTTGCTTCTCTCAATTTTAGGAACGCAAACCTGCTAGGCATCATATAATTTAAAATGAGCAACCCAGTGCATTTTTGAATAATAGAGACATTCTGAATCAATAGTATTCAAGTAGTATTTTAATTGTAGCCATGTTCATAATTTTCAATTAAATAATGATAATTGGTGCAAAAATATATAATAGTCATTTAAAAATGTGAGGGTTTTGAGGATTTATTTTTGTCTTTTCTAAGAAAAGGTGAAAGTTTATTGTAGAGTATATTATAGGTTAAGAGCAAAAAAAAAAACCTTATAATTTGATTTGTCCCATTAAATGTCTTATAAACATACTTGAGTTCATTTATTATCTTGCTTTTAGTGAATAGAAATAAAACTCGTTTTCTATTTCTTATTGGAGGTGTTTTGTTAATAACAAGAAAATAACGATAAATAACTTCTGTTTTCTTTAAAAGAAAGGAAAACGTGAGAGGTGGGGATATTCTCTGAAATCATCTGGTCTAGAACTTTGGGCTGCCATCGAGTTTTGGTAGCTTTTCAGTGTTAGATACTTTCTGATTGTATGTATCATGATGTCTAGACAGAGGCAAAACTGTAGAATTTGGTAAAGGATTAAAAATAAAAACCAGTTTAATTCATTGGGGCTTGTTTTCTCACACTGTAGTTGTGTATGCATATGGTCCTGGGATGGATAGTGGGTGAGATAAAATGGTATTGGAATGACTCAGTGTGTGGCTTGTGAAAAAAAATGTTTTTCCTATTCCTTTGGCAGCTACCTTTTTACTCAATCTTTTCTTCCCTTGTAGCTGCTAAATGAACTGAGTGTTGTGGAAGCCGAACTGCTCCTGAAATCCTCCAGCCTGGCAGGAAGTTACACAACGGGACTGTGTGTGTGCATCGTGGCTGTTCTCAGGCGGTACCATAGCTGTCTCATCCTCAATCCTGATCAGACAGCCCAGGTGTTTGAAGGGTTGGTATATAAAATATCATGACTGTTTTTCACATGTTGTCTATGTATAATTTGTGATGGAATATCGTAATGGTTTTAACAGGAAAAATAGGTGTTTGTTTCAATTTGAAAGATAGAGTTAAAGACTACTTTTGCCAGAAAACATTTATCAGTGAAGAAGACGTAAGCAGGAAAAGTGTGTTCTCCAAATAGAGAGGCCTTCCTTGCCTGCCCCTAATTTCTATGAGCATAAGCCCGTCATTTACAACACTGTATCATTTGCTACCCCAAACCACGGCTTATGATGCATGATGAATATGTCTCAGCTGCTTCGTTGATGTAATTCCAGGTTATAGTCAAGATGAAATGAGCTTTGCACACGTTGTTATTTTCCTATTTGCTTCTTCAATTTCATTTCTTTTAGAAACTAAATCCATCGTGACAAAAGTTAATCTAGAACAAATGACTTTCTTGTGTCTTAGTCTGTTTTTTGGTTTGTTTGAACTGTAGGGTGAAGTTTTCTTTGCTGTCACTCATGAAGTTGGACCAAGTCCTAACATAATCCCCATTAGAGGCTAAGGTTACAGGGACGAGAGAAGTGTAGTGACAGAACACCTGTATGGAGCTCCTTTTTGTCTACTGCAGACTTCTTTCTCTAGAGCATTATATATAGTAAAACAAAAACAACACCCCTTTTCTTTTTCTGACATTTTCCTTCCTGGATTTAAAAGAAACATGGGGTTCTGTGGTTCCACAGTACTTTTTTTCTGTAATCTAGCACATGCAATCAATTTATCATCTATTCTGGAGTGTCATCCATTTAGCAGAAGCTTTTTGGGAGAAAAGGAAATGCTACCACATTAATAGTACACATAGACTATTAAATGAAATCTCAAACATTCCAGATATTTTTAAAAGGTTGAGAATAAACATTTTAGAATTCAGGAAATATAGGACCACCTAATAGCCCTCAACTGCCCTATAAAATTGCATAATTAGTACCATTTACAAATCATGAAACCGAGACTCAGGCCTTTTAAATGCAGTTGAAGTTGATGTGATCTACTTAACATTGCATAGCTAATAGATCTCCCAGATTGCTAAAAGTCATTCTACATAAGAGCACATTCATGCTTCTTGATTTATACTGTGCTTTCTAAACTGTGTTTGGAAACCCATCAGTTAGTCATAAAGTGAGTATTACAGATTTTGACAAATTTTATTTTTGTTATTTTGAAATTTATTTTAGTATCATTTATTTTGACATTTTAAATGTATTATCTATTAAATATTCATAAAATCATATTTGATATTACATTTTTATTTTGTACTGAATGCATATACTGGATCTCAGTGTAAAATGTTTTTCTTATCTCTAACAAGTGAAAAACAATCAAGGAAACACTGACTGCTATGGTATGGATGCCTAACAAACTCTCAATAAGTGTTTGTTTACTTCAATCACAGCATAATTCCTTGCTCTTTAGAGTATGTGTACAATTTTTGTTAGCATATTTAACAGATCGGATCCTCTGCTTCGTAATTGCAGGATACTTTAACTGACAGCTTTTATCAGCTGTCTGGTGGCTCTGTCTGCTGATATCATTTCACAGGGCTTGGGATGCAACATTGCCATTTCTTTATTGTCTTGTCATTTCTACCTCTGGTATTTGTGATTGTAGTGTCCTTCCTGGCCTTGACAGCCTCGGCTTCCCTGGTTTCCCTGACCCCCTTAATAATGGAGAGAGCTGAGGACTGGGAGTTGGGAGACCTCAGCCTCTCCTCTTGGATGTGCTGTTAATTAGCTTTTTGCCTTTGGGCAAGTTATTTCACCTGTCTGAGCCTCAGCTCTGTCTTTTTTAAATGAGGAAGGTGAATCAGATGATTCTAAAAGCCCTTTTCAGCTTTAATAATCTGAGTCATCGATGACATTATTGTGATATTACTGAACCCTATAACAGAATACAAGATGGTGATAGTGGAATCAGAGTTACAAATAGGTGGATGGACCACCAGTGTTTTCTTGTGTGTTATATGAAGCTTTTCGTTGAATGAACTGTGGCCAGTGGGACCATCCTTCCGTTATGGGGAAAAGGGCACAGAAATGGAATAGTAACAGTACTTCTTTTTTGAAAGACTTCTAGAGAAGGTCATTAAAAAAGGAAGGGGGGGTTAATTTCTTACATAAAGTAAAGTAAAATTTGTGTCTGGTTTGGATAAACGAGAATATGACCTCAAATCATGAATTCATCAAGTTTTTGCCAGGACCAGCTTATGGTCCTGAAAATGAATTTCCTAGATTTACTGATTTAGAGACTTGCTCTTTTCCAAAGGAGTGGACTTAAGAATTTTTGCAAATGGCCTGAATTTATGATCTTTTTACTGAAGAGAGATTCTCTACGACAGATTTCCTCTAGTGTTCTGGTCACAGTAAATTCACTGATGGATTCCTCCATATGTACCTTGTGTATTCATTTCTTGTTGTTAATGGTATTTCCCAAGTCTTTTTAAAAATCATCTAGTTTTTCAATATCCTAATAGAAAAATGATATTTTATGCAATTATGTACTATTGCTATAATCATTAGTATCAAAAACCTGATACCTTTTTTCTTATCCAAGTAATACACCCACATATTCTCACTCTAAAGGATTCAAACAATAAGATATATATTAGCAAAATATGTGTCTCATTTCTTCATATATTTTTCCCCCTCAGGTTATGTGGTGTGGTAAAGCATGTTGTGAACCCCTCAGAATGTTCCTCCCCCGAGAGATGCATCTTAGCCTACCTCTACGATCTCTATGTGTCATGTAGCCACCTCAGAAGTAAATTTGGAGACCTCTTCAGGTGGGTAGAAGGAAATCAACAGGAATAGGCTTATGCCTGTATTTGGTAGTGACCCAGCTAATATTGTCATACTTTTTAATAATGAAAATTAATCGTAATTATATCTGCCAGAATTCATATTGAATTATCTTTCATTGTCACTTTAACCTCCTGTTACCAATTACTCTGCATGTTTAGCTATGATTGCAATTCTGAGAGAAACTTGAAAGGAAATATTCTGTACTTTGCACTTGCTAGTACCTCACTTGAAACGTTTCCCTGCTGTTTGAATGCTTACTTTCTCGCTGCCTTTGCTTCTCTGCTTCCTTGACCATCCTATTTCAGATGGTGTCCCTGAGTGGGTGTCATTCTCTGCATCTTAGCGCTTGCTATTACCCCCACAAGTAGACAGGTGCTAGAAAACACATACTTACTTAATGTTATTTTGAGGAAATTTTGATTATTAATTGTCGGCGGGGTTATGAAGGGGAAGATAATAGCTGCGTATTAAATTTGTCATCTAGAAGGAGCTAAGGAAAGAATTAGGGTTCTTTGTTCTTAAATTCTGTGAGCTTTGTCATCCAGGTTTGTGTAGAATGTGACTGCCCATCATTGCTTTGTCACCACCGCCATCTCTTGGTTAGACCATTGCAGAGTCCTAACTGATTTCTCTGCTCGTGCCCCTGACTCTCTTTAGCATATTGTCAGCATACCTACTAAAGTCATCCTTTAAAACAAGAATAACTTGAAGATTTCTAGTGGCTTCTTATCTACACAGAATAAAATTCAAAGTCCTAACCTAGCCTTCAGGATCCGCTGAATGCAATCTACTCTTTTCCTTCTTCCCCACTATGTATGCCATGCTAACCACATGGACCTCCTTTCTGGTCTTCACACACTCTAAGCACACTCCCATCTTGGGACTTTGGCACATGCTGCTCCCATTCATGTAATCCTTCCCCTCTCTTACTAACATGTTCATCCCCACAGTACATTCACGGTCTACCTCCCTGCCCATCCTGTTTTCAATAGCAGCCTCTTCTCCCTACTCTCTGTCGTTCTCTGAACCTTAGCACTTGCCACCACTGGGTGAATTATATAGGTATTTATGGTCTGGCTTCCTCCTAGAATGTAAGCTTCGTGAAAGGAGGAACTTTTATTTTCTTCATTGGCGTATCCTGGTACCTTGAAGAATGTTTGACTCCTAGCAGGCACTGCAAAAATCCTGCTGAATGCAAGCTACATCCGGGGGGGGGGGGGAATCATGATATTTTCAATGGTATCAGTAGGGGAAAAAAATGGGAGAGTATGTCATCGTGAAATGAGCTAGGTTTCCCAATAATCCCTTGTAGAACATTTGAGTGGGTCTTAGGAAACATCTTTCCACAGAAATGATGTAATAAGAATAATACCATACATTCTTACTTTACAGACAGCTTTCATTTTCAGTTTACGGTTTTCAGAGAGATTTCTCATACATGATTTGGTTCTTGAAACCAAATAGTGAACTTCCCGAGAAAGCCCCAATAGCCTGTTTGACCCCTAGTGCTCCTGCCGAGTAGTGCCAGTGTGTTCAGTAAGTGAATTCAAGTAATGTACCTGGGCTGTGTGGAGGCTTAGGAGACCAACAGTGAGCTGAGGGTCAGTACGGTGTCACATCACAGGGAGGGGCCCTGGCTCACGCTTGCCGGTTAAAGACCTCGCAGACCAGCGCAGCTCTCCGGAAACCCTGAAGTAAGGCATTATTTGTCGATCGGGATTAAGAAAAACAGTCAAACAAAAGCTAGCGTCTCAGAGAGATTTCTATTATTATGCTAATAAAACAGTTTTAATAATTAGATCTGAAGGAGCATCTCTAAAGTTGTGTGAGAGGACTGTTGGGGGGAAACACATCTTGCGCTGATCGGGCGGCAGCTGTGTGCCAGGCACTGTGCTGGGTTCTTTCCATCAAGATCTTTAATCCTCCCCACAACCTCAAGAAGTAGAAATGACTGTTCCTGGCAAGAAGTGATTGTTCCTCATCCTAAGCTAATAAATGGTGAAGCCTAGATTTGCACATAAGTCGTTTTGGCCTAAAAGCATGTGTTGCTTTTATTACTGTCAGGTTTTTCAGGTACAGGCAGTTTCAGACCCAAGATGTCTCAGTTGTTTCCTTAATTTCATGTATGTCTGCAGCGAAGAGTGGTGAGAACTTGAGAGTGACCTAGAAAGCAGCTAATGTTTCATTAAAGCATAGAAGGGCTCGTCTGGGAAGAGTGTAATAAATGAAACAGGAAGCCTGGAAATGAAGAGTAAGGAGACTTCACCACGAGGCACAGATTTCAGAAAAATTATGCAATGCAGGCTGGCGGTAGCTGAGAGTCAACTCAGGAGAATTCTCTAGACTGAAAGAAAAGTGGGGGCTGACTCTTACAAAAATTAAAGAGAGGAAAGCAGGATTCTTTTGGTTTCTAAGACAGACACAAATAGATTGGTAGAATTAAGTAGGAAAAGAGGTAATGCTTTACTATTTGCCGAGGTCCGTTTCATTAAAATGACAGTGTATGGAGAGGTGGAGGGAACCAGCAGAAGAACAAAGCTGGTTTTTGTTTCATTTTTTACTGAAAAAGTGAAATGCATTAAGAACTACTACTAAGTGAGAATGAATGAAAAGTTGAATAGAAAGGTTCACAAGGGTTAAGGGAGGAAAACGGGAGATATTTAAAAGCCCTGGGGGCTGTGAAGTGTTCATCCTTTTGAACTGGTCGTCCGGATTGCACGCTTGCACCCTTCAGGGACAGCTGACACCTTTTTATATAAGGTGTCTGCTGAGAAAGAACGGAGAAGGCTGTAATTACTGTCATTTAGTGGGTTTCTTTAGTCCTGTTTGCCAGACCAGTATTTCCTAGACTTACAAAGTTGGAATGAAAACCTCCTATTGGGACTCTTCTCTAGGAATATGTTAGAGTTATGTATTTCCATAGAGTTGCTGCCATTGAATCTGTCCTTAAAGGAAATAGCCTTCTAGTTATTCTAGTTGTTTTTTTTTTTTTAACTTTTCTCCTTGTAACCTCAGTAGTGCCTGTTCAAAAGTTAAGCAAACCATATATAATAATGTGATGCCTGCAAATTCTAACTTGCGATGGGATCCAGACTTCATGATGGATTTTATTGAGAATCCTTCAGCTCGTAGCATCAATTACTCAATGCTGGGCAAGATCCTTAGTGACAATGCAGCCAATCGCTACAGCTTCGTCTGTAATACGCTCATGAATGTATGTATGGGCCACCAGGATGCTGGAAGGTGAGCTGGGTTACCCTGGAATTCACTTCGAACAACCTAGTCATTGCCTTGGTGTTACTTTTAAACTAATGTCTTTAGTAATTGCCTGGGCTGACATTTGGATGTTTGCTTTTTGTTCCCCCCATTTATTCCTGAATTGATCTCTGCTTTATACAGTGATTTCCTTAGCCTGACAGGCTATCCTGGCTGAATGCTCTGGCATGAGATGCTTTAGATATAAACTATAGGTTGTCTATCCACTTAAAAAAAAATAATAAAAACCCAAATGAAAAACACCTATATCAGAGGCACCTGGGTGGCTCAGTGGGTTTGGCCTCTGACTTGATTTCAGCTCAGGTCATGATCTCAGGGTTGTGGGATCGAGCCCTGCATCGGGTCCATGCTCAGTGTTGAGCCTGCTTAAGAATCCCTCCCTCCCTCTCTCTCTGCCCCTCCCCCTGCTTCTGCTCACTCTTTCTCTCTAAATAAATAAAATCTAAAAAAAAAAAAAAAAAACCCTATTTTAAAACACTGTTTTTTGACCTACCTAAATTACACAGTGTCTTTAATTTTTTTGATGCCCCTAAAAATGTAAATTTGTAAGTCAGGTTTGTTCTCAGAACAAAAATATGTTAATTGGCATCTGTACTGATTTTGCTCAGCAACATTAAATATTTGAAGCCACTTATTTTTATCTTTGGTTCCAGGTTCTACTAGGTTATTTAACAAGTGGGTATTTGATAAATCTTTTTATCTTAGAAATGAATGACTTGTTTGATGGTAGTGAGGTGTGTGCTCATTAAGTATATTACATGTGCCTGTTTCTCTCCTGTTACTTTCTACTGTGTTCTTTTTCCTCTTCCTAGGATTAACGACATTGCCAATTTCTCTTCGGAGCTGACAGCTTGCTGCACTGTTCTTAGTTCAGAATGGCTGGGAGTTCTGAAGGCTCTTTGTTGTTCTTCAAATCATGTGTGGGGGTTTAATGATGTACTTTGCACTGTAGATGTAAGTTTTCTTTTTCGCTTAAAAACTCATCTGTGCAATGAAATATTTAGTTAGTAATTCTTTTTAATTGACTTAACCCTTACCTGAAATACAAAATATTTTTTCTTTCTCTGTCCAAAAACAATAAAGGAGAATGCGGTTGTGTAGGATTACATAAATGAAAAAACAATTGAAATAAATACAATAGCTTAATCTACAGAGATGCCAAGAGTTTCATTCTCTTTAGCTGAGATTTCTTATATAGTACGTTCTCTTCAGAGCTGTCGGTTCATTTTGTTTACCAAGTGCCTTGGACTCCTCATGGTATAAGATGTAATTTACCTAAAGCAGTTTACATTTACATTTTGAAGAGAACCAGTTTGTTTTGTAAGGCTCAAGGTACCTTCTAGGAACATAGCTTTCACTGTGTTGCCTAAGAATGTCCAGGCCCAGATTCATTGACGTGTTCAGGCTTTCTTAGTGATTGTGTCTGGAAGTTGATGAAGAGATACCTGGTATATATCACTGATTTCCTTCGCATGTCCTGTTGCATCCATGATGTGTAAAGTTTTTAAAACATCTGTCATGAGTCTCTGTTTTCCCTATCAATTCTTGGAGTGATCATGTTATATGTTGGTGTGTCTTCTGTGTAGAAGACATTTATATATTTTTACAAACCTCCTTCCACCTTCCAGTTAGAGGTTTACTTTCTAGTTCTGGTATCTCAGGTAACTCATATCTGTTACCTGCTTTTCCAGACAGAAGAGATCCCAATTTTTATCTTTAACATAATTCCTTAACCTCTTGGTTGTTTTCTGTTATACTTTGTCTCTGCTTTGTTCCTTCATCTGCAAAATTGGGATTAATAATAGTATGAGCCTCATGGTGGTATGCTGTTAAATGAGGTGATTTTTGTAAATCACTAACCATAGTTATTGGCATATAGTACAACTTAATATGAAGTCTGCTCTTATGATTGTTTTTGTTATTGTTCTCTTCCAAAGTCTTGTTTGGTCTGTGTAGGTAGAGGTTTTATTCTGAATGCATTGATTTTCCTTCTCTCCTTTTTTTCCACAATCTCTCTCTCCTCTCTCTCTTTCACTCTCTTTCAAGTTTAGGAGTCATTTGGAAATTTTCAGAGTTGTTTTTAAAACTAATTATGTTATAGAATCATTCATATTTATCCCTGAAAAGAACTCTAAAACATTAATAAGGCTTAGAACTTCCTTGTTTTTCCTTTCCTCCCTAATGATCTTACCCTTAAATAACAGATGATGTTGTATTCTGCCAAAAAGTTTTATTTATGCTACATCTTTTAGGAATTTCTTGATTTTGTTTTTGTTTTGTTCAATAACGTGGACTCTAGATAAAACTCAGTATCTCCTGATAGCATTGGGATATAGGTAAACCTCATTCTTGGTCTTATAAAGTAGAAATAGTCCTTAGAAGATAATAAGTCTGACGTGTTACCATTTCACTCTATTGGGTCATTTTGGGATTTGAGATCTTACTGGTGTTGCCTACATTCTCTTAGATATTAAGCTTAGATATTACCTGAAAGGGTGTTAGGTATTAAAACATGTCAATGTTTTTCTTGAAGGTGAGTGACCTTTCATTCCATGATTCATTAGCTACTTTCATTGCTATTCTGATAGCACGACAGTGTTTCTCTCTGGAGGACGTCGTGCAGCACGTCGCACTTCCCTCGCTCCTGGCAGCAGGTATGGCACGTCCAGAGTGGCCCTTGTTATTTGATGGCTGTCTTGGGGTGGTTTCTAGCTATTACAACACAGTAAACATACTATTAAAGCATCCCTGCATTTGGGCAGTGGTGTGGCGTTGAGGTAAAGATTATAGAATTGTCAGTGTTGTTCTACACAAAATCAAATGGATCCCTATGGAAAAGGTTGTTTTTAAGGAAGCCCTCTGGTTTCCTGAAAAAGCATAGCTTAGTGCCTTACTTCTTACTGTAAGGAGCATTTATATTTAAGTTATTCCAGAAAAGTTAGCTTAATAGAAAACCTGAAGACATGTCCTTGAATAAATTAGCAAACGTGCTTTTAAAATCTTTCCTAGCTTGTGGGGATGCAGATGCTGAGCCGGGGGCGAGGATGACATGCCGACTTCTGCTTCATCTCTTCCGAGCTCCCCAGGCCTGCTTATTACCTCAAGCAACCGGTGAGCTGAAAGCTGAAAAACCCTTGGTGACATTTTCGTTTGGAGGTATAGATGCTAAAATGACCAAGTAGGCTGTCCATTCTGTCATTTCCTTCCTGATACTGGTGAGAGCTTGCTGTGCAGGTGAGGAGGGAGTGTAGTAATACCCTTGAGAGCTGTCTTAGTACCTTTTATTTATGCAATATCAGGATGGATTGAGAAACTCAAATCAGGAGTTAATGAACAATAAAAATACTTTTGCTCTTAGGCCAAGCCCTGCTGGTGGGCAGCTTGATCCTCTCACATACTGTGTGTGTTGGTTATGAACCATATCAGAGCAGCTTAGGGCAATGATGATTCATTTATTCTTTTACTAAGGTAAAAGGAATAAGGTAAAAATTCTAGGGGTGTGATTGAAGTGTGTTTCTAAAAATCATTTCCATACGAGTGTGTGTGTGTGTGTGTGTGTGTGTGTGTGTGTGTGAATCAGCATATGTAGATGAATGTTCCTATTTTTTTTGGTACATCTCTTTAAGGAGCAAAGACATTGTTTTAATAATTAAAAAGCAAATGTTAAGAAAGGAATACTGACAGTGTTTCTTAGTGAATCCATGAAGCATCGGTTAAAGCTAACTGATGGCAGTTAAGGACCCACAGTCTAACAGTGAAAGGCTCTGCTGATTGTAAATGGTTAGAAGAGATTGTTAATGGTGGTAATGAGACCATTTGCTGTTGTTCTCATAGGCAAACCTTTCCCTGGAATAAGATCATCTTGTGATAGACACCTCTTAGCCGCTGCTCACAACAGCATTGAAGTGGGAGCCGTGTTTGCTGTCTTAAAAGCAATTATGATGCTTGGTAAGATTATCCTGGCACTAAACTTGGTTATTCACCAGAAACAGAGGAAAAATAATTTGTATTTAGGTTCAACTCTAATTCATATTACTAGAAATGTGGTTTGGTTTGGTTTGGTTTTCCTGGCAAAATTAGTTGGCTTTCTCCAAGTCCAAGATCAGTTGGACTTGAGATGTCTGCTCCTTACCTACAAATTCTGGGGGAATTTAAATATAATAGGTCTTTTTTTTTTTTTTGATGGCATTTTAATACAGGATATTCATTTTGATACAGTATAGATTCTCAGACCCACAGGGTGGTTTTGCTTTTATTTGTTGGCATAAATCACACTTTGTGATGGACACAGATGACATGGTGATCTAACCAAAGGTTTAAATTTCATGTCATATATTAGGAGCAGGACACCAGAAAACCTGGGTTTTAACCTTAGTGTTTCTACTTCAGTTGTGACCCTTAACAAGTATATAAACTTCTGCCTTGCGGTTTTCATGAATCAGGTAATAATTGCAATGATGTTGATATTATTGATAAATCAGTATTAGATATCAGAATTTTTAAAAAATTTAATCCATAATGTCCAAGACGTCCTTTATACTCCTATTGGCATATGTACTCTTGGAGTAGTAGTACTGCATTTTCTATTCATTGATAGTGTAATGCTTTAAGACATTTTGATTCTATAAATTGTTCAGGATTTGAATGAGCAGGAAGTCCTGAGTCCACACTGCCTAATTCCAACTGTGGGAAGCCTCGTTTGGCCTTGACTAAATAAAAGTTCTCTCATGTTCTGAAGGAGCTCTCTTTGATTAGAATAGAAACTATTGAGTAGATAGGAAATGTTTTAGAGAAGTCTTAAAGAACATTATACTTTATACAGCTGTTTGAATGTTATTTGGTGACAATAAAGGATAACAGGATTTTCACTAAAAAAATTATTAAAAGTTCACCTTAAAAGAATATATATACACACACATATATATATTTACATGTGGTTTCTAATTTTTGCAGTAGTTTAAGATTAAAAGTTGGAGAAAACATATTTATACATTTATATATTATATCAAAGGGATGCCCTTGGAAATGCCCATGAGTTTACAGTAAAAGGTGTGTGCTCATAAATGCTCATTTCAGTAAATAAAATTTCTCTTCTCTGATGATGTTTGAAAAGAAAATGGCTGGTCAATCTACTTAAATAAATGTAGAGATCATGAAATCAGAGTCTTGCTTTTTTTTTTTTTTTTTCCTTTAAACTGTGGTATCTCTAATGCCCATCAGAAAAACTAGAAAGGAGGTTTTGAAACAGTAGCTATTCAACAAACTAACGTTTGAGTTGTGACTACAGAAGGGGATAGACACTTAATGGTAGAAAGCAAGATGAGTGCCGTCTAGACACTTACCCCTTCATTGGGAGGACTGTTGCAGTTCCAACTAAAATTTGCCAGCCTCTTTAAAGAGTCACATGATTGTATTTTAATATCCATGTGTAATAACCAGTTCATTTATCTTTGGTTGGCTTTCCTCGATCTTTGTAATTCACGTCAGTTCTTGGTAGATAGAGAATGCTTCAAGTCTGAGAAATCAGGATTGGGTCATTTGGATGTCAGCAGAGCCTTGGACTGGGTAGTCTCTGAACACTCTTTTCTACAGTTACAGAAGGTTTTGGCACAGTCTCCTGTACCTTCTCTGTCATCCTAACATCTAAACTAAATGAGAATCTGAGGATTTCCTAGTCAGAGGTGTTTGTTTCTCTGATTTTGTTTTTATGGAAGTTTTAATTTCTCTACCTTACCCTGTCCTTACCAATGTTCTCTCAAGTCCTGTCCACCAGGATCTATTTTGAGATTGGGAGCTAAAACTGTTCTTTAGAAATTGGTTTTTAATTTATGTAGTAGTTTTACCTTAAGGTGTAGAAATAGTTCTTTATATCCCCAGAGGTGGGAGAAAGTATGCTAAATTTTGGTACATATCTTTCAGCTCCCAAGGAGCTCTGTTGAATTAAATAAACTCTTGTGAGTGAAGTGAAATTGGCACTTTTTCTATTGTGTATTTTAATGAGGAATTTATCATATTATAAGATATTGATGATTTGAAAAGCATTGTTTATTCCTCCCCTCCTCTTATAATTTTATAAATATTCACTAAGCCATTCTGATTTTTCAAATTTTCAGATTTTTCGAAACCTTTTCTTGGTTGACCTGTGGGTTTTAAAAGGTTTTTTTCACTGATCTGGGCTTGGTTTTACTCATAGTGGGTAGTGAGGGGCCTCATTTAAACTCATTTGTTGGTTCCAAGAAATTTTCTTGTTCAAGGCTTATAATCCTGTGGGTAAATAGGCAAGAGTTTAGAGGCTCTGTTGTCATTTGGTAGTCTTTATTATCAATTCTCTCACTTTAAAATATGATAGTGATTTGTCTTTAACAGCTGGAGAGGATTTATTTCCAGCTATTCAGACATTCTGCTCCATTTTGTCCCCAAGAACTTGATTACGAGGGAAGCCCTTTCCTTAGTTTCATTTGACTCAGTATATTAGAGGTTGATCTGGTGAGGTTTTCTAATTTGGATGTTTACAGAGAGGAAAGTGAGAGACTTGGGTTATTCAATGAGTGCCCTATGTTTTAGGGCTTCCTTAGTATGCATTGCCCTTTTCCATTCCCAGGGAAATAAATCTCTCTTGTCAAGAAGTTGATAGTAAGGTGGGCTAAGGCAAAACTTTTCTCTTGACCTATGGATAGAAAATAAGTCATTGTAAGAGAAGAAATGGAAAAGGGACATCTAGAAGGGTGAGTAACCCATTTTTTCCTTATCTATAAGTGAAATGAATTTGAATATTGAATACATTTGTGCTTGAAATATTGGTGAAATCAATGTTCTCTGATTATTAAGTATGATTCATAATGGCCTTTCCAAGTTCAGTGAACACATACTTAATTCTGTAAATGAAATAAGGAATAAGTCTTGAATATGCTTCTTTTTCCATGTCCAGTGAAACTTCTCTGGGTTCTTGCAATTATTCTCTTGATCTGTTCTCTCTCTTGCTGAACAACTGTCTATGCCATAATGATGCCATTCACGTATTTTAAGTCCCTGAAGACTTGCTTCATTTACTTCTCAAGGATTTGGCGATATTTTGAACTTCCATGATTTTGCTTTTGTGGTTCTATTATTTAGGAGATGCCAAAATTGGCAATAACAATGTCAGCTCTTTAAAGAATGATGACTTCACCATGAGGGGTTTACGACGTGATGGGAATGCCGATGATATCTGGACTGCCTCACAAAATTCAAAATCCTGTGGGAAAAGCATTTCCATAGAAACTGCCAATTTAAAAGAATATGCTAGATATGTACTGAGGACTATCTGTCAACAGGTATTTTTCAGATTTAATTTGCCTTTAACTTCACTGTATAATTGTTCTTATGAGAGAAATGCTCACTGTTGTAGGAAACTTGCACATTGGGGGTCCTTTTCTTCCTGCTAACTTTATTTGGAAATAAAATTGAATTTGTTGAAAAGTTGCAATAATAATAATAAAGAACTCTAGTGTATATGCCCTTTGTGTAGATTCACCTGTTGTTTATATTTTGCCACATTGCTTTATGATTCTATTTGTGTGTGAATGTGGATGCATATACTTTTTAATTTTTTGCTGAAGCTTTTGAGAGTAGATGGCATACATTATGAATCTTTACTTTTTAATACCTTAGTGTTTACTTTTTAACATAACCAAATGCAGTTACCAAAAAACAAGAAATTTAGCCTTGGTACAGTAATTTTTTCTCATCTGCAGGCCATATTCAATTTTGTCAGTTGTCCCATAATGTTGATTTTGTCTGAAATTTCCCATAGATTAGCTTCAGATGATGCAATCTTGGCCAAGATGCTACAGAAGTAATGTTGTGTTCTAGGGTAGTCACACCTGAAGGCACATGATGTGCATCTGCACCTCACTGGTGGTGATCGTTTTGATCAAGGTGTCTCCATTGTATGGTTTCAAGATCTCGCTGCTGTGTAGTTACCATTTTTTCCCCTTGCAATCAGTAAACAGTCATTGGGAGACATTTTGAGAAAATACAGATATCCTGCTCTTCAAACTCCACCACCCATATAGCATTCATTTTGATTCTTGTCCCAACTAGTCTTTATATGACGGTTGCAAAATGGTGATTGCTTTTCCCCCCAACTCCTCTATAGTTAGTGATTTGCACTGTACTCTAAAGAGAGCCTACCCTTATTAATTTTTTCCCCTTATTCTTATTTATTTGTTATCCATATGGATTATAAAATACTATCCTTAGTTATTTTCATGTTCAAATTGTCACAGATTTGTCCAGTGGGAACCTTTTCATCCTGGCTTTTAAGTTATTTTGACATGTCTCCATCCCTTCCTCCCTGCCCCCCCCCCCCAAGTATTTTCTTAGTTCCTGGCCCACCTTGTGCTTTCCCTGTTCCAAACCTGGAATTACTTATTCCTCCAAGGAACTCTGGTTCTAGTTAGTAGAGGATGGTATTTAGAAACCAAGATATGGGCACTGTGGTGCTCATTAACTGTAGGCAGTGGGTATTCTTTGTCTCTAAGCCCTTTCAGCAGACAGAGGTAGGAAAAAATACATGCATATACATAAATGTCTGTGTATATTCATGAGTTCATACTGATACATCCACTTGTATTAACTCCACTTAGTTCTTGGCATTCCCCCATTCCATATTAATATTGTCTTCCACAGCAAGAACCCTGGCTCCCAATAAGATCAGTCATTTATTCATGTACTTAATTCTGTACTACACCTGAAATAGTTTTGAGAATTGCTACACCTATGCCACTAGGAAAAAATGAAAAGGAGTTGAGGATTTGTTTTTTTGTGTGTTAAAAATCTTTTTGAACTTTCTCCTTCAGTATGGATATTACTCATTTAAAATAGAATTGATTTCATTTGTTTCTGTTTGCATTCAGTTTAGATTCCCTTTTTCTTCCTCCCCACCTCAGCTCTGCTTTAGACTAGCATGCTTCTACAAGTCAACTGCACAAAAAGGAGTACTAAGAGATGTATTCTCTGTCTCTTGGCTCTTCCATCCTGTGTTTTTTCCTGCCCTTGGTGATCAGTTTTATTATTTTTTAATTTATCTTCCTTTTTTCCCCTAATTTCTCTTTTCTTATATAAAAAAAGAAAACATGGCATACCATATATACTATTTTCCATTTTGATGGAGACATTATGTTAACAGGGTCATGTTTTTATTAGGGCATATTGTAACTATGGTTAAAGTTCGTGAAATGGTCATATAGATAGTGAGAGGCAGTTGTATATGGGTTCCCAACCAGAAGCACCAAAGGTCAAACAGTTTTAATCCCTGAAAAATATTACTGATGTCTGGGTCCCACCATCAGATATTTATTTGATGGGGCCTAGGCTTTGGAATTTTAGCAAGCTCCCCGGGTGACTTTAATAGATACACAGCATTGGGCTCCTGGTATAGTTAAGAAACTAGGCCACCTCTGAAACAGATCTGGGTTCAAATTGCACTCTCTTGATGATTTCTTCTATAGTATAAGAGTTTGCAATGATAAAGAAAAGGTGATAGGGATTTAAATTGGTAGAAACTCTCTGGAGGGCAGTTGACTATATGTATCAATAATTTTAAATTTTGTTATACTCCTTGACCCAAAAATTGTGCTTTTATGAAATTATTCTAAGAAAATAACTGTATAGAAAGTAGATATGCACAAATATTTATAATAGCATTTAGAATATAAAAATGAAGACAGTTTTCTAAATGTTTTACTCTGTTTTTTCTATTCAGAATATACTATGCGTTACATAAAAATGAAGACATGTAATAATAGAGAATCATTACCATTATATGCCAATATTTTCTTTAGTTTCTTTAGCTTTCTTTTCTTTCCTTTTTTTGCATATTTGTTTTTCAAACTTTTTTTATTATGTTAATCACCATACATTACCTCATTAGTTTTTGATGTAGTGTTCCATGATTCATTGTTTGCGTATAACACCCAGTGCTCCATTCAGTATGTTTTTTAACCAAGGTCCCACTTTGTATGCTTAGGAAGTCAAAATACCAGGAATTTTGTTTTCAAAATTTTTCCCACCTACTTTTTTCATGTAATTTTTTTTAATTGGAAGATTTCTGTCTGCTTTATATTCCATTGTGCAACATGATTTAGTACCTATTACATTCATGTATAGAAAGTCTCTGCCTGTCAATCTAATAGCCGTTTTTTTGATGTTGTTTTTTTTAGGAATGGGTAGGAGAACATTGCTTAAAAGAACCTGAAAGATTATGCACAGACAAAGAGCTTATATTGGACCCTGTGCTTTCAAATATGCAAGCACAGAAATTACTACAGCTTATCTGTTATCCTCATGGTATTAAAGAATGTACGGAAGGGGACAACTTGCAAAGACAGCACATTAAGCGTATTCTTCAGGTGAGTGATTAAGAGTCTAAAGGTTGTGTTTGTCATGTAACAGTTTTTTTTTTTTTTTTTTGCTCAGTGCTAACTAATTCTTGACTTCAGTTCTGATTTTTATTCTTCCAACTTTCTTTTCTGTGCAATTGCTGTACTTCATTGCTAGGTAAATATAGATACTGCAGATGCTATACAATCATAATATAAACATTGATATTTTAAGTCTACTGTATTTAGATGAGACATAAGCTTTCTGGAGGGATAGTCTTAAATATATTATTCAAAAAGTATTGGAATTATTTTGGAATGGGATTGCTTAGATAAATAGATTTTGGGAGAAGAAATCCCTGTCTTACTTCCAGTGCCTGGCTGAGTGATATGCATTATTTTATTTATTTATTTTATTTATTTATTAAGACAGAAATCTTCCAATGCAATGCATATGATATGCATTATATTTATTTATTTTATTTATTTATTACTTTATTTATTTATTTTAAAGATTTTATTTATTAGATTGAGTGAGAGAGAGCACACAGGCAAGGGGAGGGGCAGAGGGAGACGGAGAAGCAGACTCCCCATTGAGCAGGGAGCCCAATGCAGAGCCCAATTCCAGGCCTCCAGGATCATGACCTGAGCCCAAGGCAGACGCTTAACTGACTGAGCCACTCAGGGGCCCCAGATGTGCATTATTTTAATGTTTGTTTTTTTTTAATTTGTGTCTACAATGAATGTATATAATGGACCTGGAAGCCTTTTGATCCCTACAAATTCCTTTATTCTGTATGATTATTCTGTTCTTTCTTGAGAGAGGGAATACTGCAAGGAATTATTGTATTTTAAGACACGTTCAGTATCCTTGATGTATTAATTCTTTCCATTTTCCCCAGAATCTTGAGCAGTGGACACTAAGGCAGTCCTGGCTAGAACTTCAGTTAATGATCAAACAGTGCTTGAAGGACCCTGTGAGTATATATATTGGAAGGATGTGTTATATATATAAAATTTTAAGAACAGGAAGAACACGTTGATGTTGGAGGATGAAGTAAAACATATGCATGCTAGTTTTCTTATGTGTAACTCCAGGGCTCTGGTTCAGTGGCTGAAATGAACAACTTGCTGGATAATATTGCAAAGGCAACAATAGAGGTATTCCAACAGTCTGCTGACTTGAACAATAATTCTTCTAATTCTGGAATGGGTCTCTTCAATCCAAATGGGATTGGAAATACTGATACAAGTAGCACGAGGCAGAATGGAATAAAGACATTTCTAAGGTATTTTTTCCTGCAGTTTGGGCTGTGTTCACTTTTTCACATGTAATGTATATTTTTATTTGCATGATGTGTTACTTTTCATAAAGCTGCAGGAATGTGAAATTATTTGTGTCAGTTATTATTTTATAATATATTAAAGGGTACAATGATGAAAGATGTCTCAGTGTTTACCACATCCAGACTCCTTGGAACTACATGTGACACACAGAAGGGATTAATTTCTTTACTGTCTAATTAAGGCTACTCTGTTCTATAGACTTCATTATATAGGAAGCACTTTTTCTGCCATCTTAATTGGCAGTGTTGCACAAAGGATAATCATGATAGGCAGATTGATTTGTATTTCATCATTTGGGTGTAAAGTATAACTAGTGAATTTTAAAATCTTATAAATTGGTTATTAATATGCTTAAACATCATCAGAACATTTCATATCTTAACCATGACAGTAAAGTGTGTTGCTTGTTGTACAAAAGGACTGTTGCTAATCAGAGAACTAAGATCACAGAAGAACACTTAATAGATTTAAAATTTTTTTTTTTTTTTAAATTCTTTTAGAACGCCACGTTTTATTGCCCTCCATAGCAAGAGTGGAAAAGTGGGTTCAACTATCTGGTATTTGGCAAGAGGAAAGATAGTACAGAGTTAAAAGGGAAATTTTAGGATAATTGGTGTTTCTTATTCATGATAGTTTTTCCCTGGAGTTTCTGTTATGACTGTGAGAGCCAAGGAAAAGGACACCTCCTTGGGTATAACACCTATTTCTGATTTTAGCTCCTCTGAACGCAGGGGTGTGTGGCTGGTGGCCCCCCTAATTGCCAGGCTGCCGACCTCTGTGCAAGGAAGGGTACTAAAAGCTGCTGGAGAGGAGCTGGAGAAGGGACAGCACTTGGGCTCCTCTTCAAAAAAGGAAAGAGACAGACAAAAACAGAAAAGGTATGGCTGCAAGGTGTGTCTTTTTGGGAGGGCTTAAGGAATGATTGAGAACAAGTGGCATCTTGCAGACATACATGGTCAGTGTACCCAGAGTGTACTGAAATTATGTTTTTAAACGGAAATGAAAATAATCTGTTAGGTAAAGCTCGGATCCTCAGAAGTTCCAGGTTAAACATATTTAGTACACCAGTTCGTTCTGCCTGTGTACCCACATCACTGCTGAGCCATTAAAAATACCAGCTTCTTAGCCTCACCGAAGACCTGTTGAATCAGATCTGGATATCCATTTAGTCCCTATATTCTACATTTAATTACTTTTCATTGTTTTAATTATTTATATTTACAATACATAGAATTATTTATCATTCTGTCCTGTTGGGCCCTAAGATAGTAATATTTTTAACATTTAGGGCTCTTGTTCTAGACTAAATACTAAAATTTATAAACCACTAAGTTTAATCTTTACTTCATTTATTTTAGGCCCCAGAAATAATAAAATTTGCAAACTGACTCTGTTACTGAGAAAGAACAGAGCTGTGCTCTGTGCTCTAATGCGAGAATATGAATTTAGCACCTCAGGAGTAAAGGGGAATGATGAAGATTTCTTCCATTTAAAGAAGAAAAAACAAAACTCTGAACATGTATAGTTCTTATCCCCTAATTACTATTTTAGTAGCTACCATTTATTGAGCCCTTATGAAATGCCATTGTATAAAACTCATCACATACATACATGAACTTTTAAATTATTACGGCAATCATATGTGGTGGGTGCTCTCGTTACACCTTTCTTAAGATGAAGGAAGGGAGGCACTGAAAAGTTAATTTCACAAGGACACACAGCTAAGGAGTTGTGAGACTTGAGTTTAAACCCGGGTTGTCTGGCTTCTGAGACCCTGATCTTTAAAGTGCATTTTCGTAGAGACCTCTTTTACATGTATTTTGTTTGTTACCTGTTGTTTTGGGTGTTACCTTTGCGAGGGTCAGTCAGCCAACCCGATGACTCGGTTTTAATTCTGGAAGTTAATTTGCTAATGGATGGTTGCATGTACATTGCCTCCCTTCCCACTGGGGGGACACAGATGGTATTGCAAAGTTTAAAGATGACCCTTCCCAAGTCAGTATCTCTCAGCTCTGCTGGTAGAGGATGAAGCATATTGAAATCTTTGGGTTTCGATCTCCTTTTAAGAACTTTTTTTCCGCCATAGCACTTAGTTTGTCAATATGGTTTGTTAGTTCTCCAATAATTGAAGAAATATTAATAAAATGACAATTTAAAATAGAATTTTTTAACTCAAATGCCTTAACACCTCTTACGATGAGGCTATGGGATATGGTGGGTCACTAACGAGCTCACTGCTTTGGGATCCTCAGACCTAGGTGCTGATCTTATTTCTCTCAATACCCTGTTTGGTCTTAAGAAATGTGCTAAAAAAATAACATCAGCACAACAATCATATAGACCTGTTTCCTTGACTCTAAGATAATAGTTTTGTGTGACAAATTTTTAAATTTTTCATTTTCTTCTGTGTATAAAATGATATTCCCGCTGATGTGCATCTTCAATTCAGCTTACTGATACAAAATAGAAATTCTCTTCTCACTGCACTCCCCCAACATGCTCTTGCAATATGAATTTATGCTAGTTTGGGAATGCCTTCAAGGGCAAGAGAGCATATTAAATTATTTAGAATCATCACAGTGGCTTTTAATCTTTTTAATAGAGCTATGATTTAACTTTTTAAGTAGGCTTTGGCTATTTACTACTCCCTTTCTTTTTCTAGTAGTAAAATAAATAAAAGCCAATAACCCAAAGGCAAGAGATCTATGTTGCACAGGAAGTAATCTATCCTTTCTAACTAGATCTGCTCTTACTACTTCCTTTGTAGTATGTCTCTTTTGAGTCAACAACCTTTCCTCTCACTGGTCCTTACCTGCCTTAAGGGACAAGATGAACAACGGGAAGGCCTCCTAACATCTCTTCAGAATCAAGTTAATCAGGTAAAGTATACTAGAATATTAAGCCAGGCAAGTATTTTTCTAATGACATTAATTTGTTTTCCTTTCAAATACTGAGATTAAACTAATAAGACGACAACATATTTTGATTAGCTGCAAGGAAACACAGTCCATGTCCTATTTTCCTACCTGGCATTCTAGGCACAAGATTCACAGTTTTTTAACAGTAATTATGCATTGTGCCCTATAAAAATAATATTTTGTACACTGTGTACAACTTTGACATATCTGCTCCTCTCCTGATCCTGCGTCGTGGGAGAGGTGCTTGAGTAATGTGTGTTGCAGGCATGGCGCTAAGACAGAGGAACCTCTCTCCAGCTTCTCCAGCTCCACCCCCACCTATCTGGAGGGTCTCAGCTTGAGCTCTCTTTGTTCAGAAACTCAGTTTTATTTTCTTTCTTTCTTTCTTTCCTTTTTTTTTTTTTTTTTTAAGATTTTATGTATTTATTTGTCAGAGAGAGTGAGAGAGTGGCAGGCAGAGGAAGAAGCAGGCTCCCAGCTGAGCAAGGAGCCCAATGTGGGACTCAGTCCCAGGCCCCTGAGATCACGACCTGAGCCGAAGGCAGATGCTTAACCGACTGAGCCACCCAGGCGTCCCTCAGTTTTATTTTCCTGCCATAGCCAGACCAATGCCAGTTGAGTGTAAAGTACTAATTTCAAAATCAGAAGGTATATTGATTTGTGTACAAAGAAGTTGAAATTTGGCTTTCCACCACCCACAGTTCTCCTGGTCACTCTTTGGGGTATTTGCATTCTGTGTACTTCAAGGAAGCCAGGTGATGAAACTAGAAATTGGAAAGTGTGGAAAAGCAAAGTAGGTAGATTGGTCATGTGGGATGTTTTATCCGCTTACAGAGCCAAATGGAACCCTCCTGTGGTCCTCCGTTTCTATGACATCATGTCTTTCTTGCAGATGGTACTACATGAATGTGAACAAGGGTACTTGACTCATTTGGTCCTCTCGTCATCTCCCACTTTTTAGATATGAGAGATCTGTCCTTTGCACAACAGCCAAAGTGATCCTTCTAAAATGTAAATCACCTGTTACTTTGACACCCAAAGTACTCCAATGTTTCTCACTATACCTAGAATAAAAATTCAAAGTCTGGGCTTATAGAGGCCTACATGATTTGGCACTGGCTCCCACTTCTGCCTTGTTTCCTACTAGTCATGCCTTGCTCACTCCACTCTTCACACTGACCCTATTGCTATCCTTTATTTTTTTAATTTATTTATTTTAGACAGCAATCGAGCATGATTGGGGGGAAGGGCAGAGGGATGGAGAGAGGGAGAGAAGTGGACTCCTCACTGAGCACAGAGCCCAAGGCGGGACTCCATCCCATGACCCTGAGATCATGATCTGAGCCGAAAGCAAGAGACAGATGTTAAATTGACTGTTAAAAGCCGCCCAGGTGCTCCGCTATCCTTTGAACTTAGCAAGCAGATGCTCATTGCAGCACCTTTGCATCTTTTTTTCCCTTTACGTGGAAGGCTTTCCTCCCAGATAATAGCAGGGTTGTTCCCTCATTTCATCAGATCTGTGCTCAGGTGTCACCTCCTCATGGAGGCTCTCCCTGATCACTTTCCAAAAATAGGACCACAGTCATTTTGTATCCCCTTGACCTAGTTCATGCAACTTGTTACATTTGTCTTATTTTTATTTGTCCTGTTGCTAGAATGAAAGCTCTCATACAGTTTTGTGTTTACTGTCTTGGACCCTCAAGTCAGACTTGGGAGAGGACTCTATATTGATGAGATTGGAGAAATGCTCTCCTCTCATCATGCCATATACTCACAGTTCATCTGTTGGGCAGGGTTACTTCCCCATGTGACTCATTTTAACTCATAAGATGATTCTCAGTAGTTACCATATTTCAGAGCGTGGCAGTAGGGGGAGGGACTTTGCCCTTGCCATCTGATTCTAGGGTGTTGCCCACTTGCGGTTTGCTTTTCCTAAGCAAACCTTCCCTTTTCTAACATTAGTCTGAATCAATGAAAGCACTCACTTTGTAGAACAATACGCCACTTGACTGATGTGAAAATTGTCATATGTTTCAAAATAGTATATACATTCTTTATCAATGAAGACAGAAGTGTAAGATAGCAAGACTTCCCCCTTCAATAAAACATCAAAATAATACATTTGCTAGGGTTCATAGGTCCCTAGAAATGTAACACAGAACTGATATAAAATATAATTCTGTCTATTCAATATTTATCTTAAGACCAGTGAAATAACATATTTAAAAAATCTTTTTTGTTTGTTAATCTTTAACTTCATCTTCCTTTAAAGCATTTTCTAAGACTTATTAACAGGACTGTAAGTAGATAAGAGTTTTCTTCCTCCACCTAGAAAGGCAATGAGCAAGAAATAGATTTCTGCCTGCGTGGAAGAAGGAGGAAAGCTAAAATTTTATTTTGCTTTGTTTATTAATTCGTTAAAGTAAGAGTTATTTTTGACTGTCAGTAAGAAGCTCAATATAACTTTAAATATAAGAAAAAATCCATTTTAATAGGGAAAATAAGTTTTGGGTTCTTCCATTTATTTGCTGATTTAGATTTTAAGTAATTGGAGAGAAGAACGATACCAAGATGACATAAAAGCACGGCAGATGATGCACGAAGCATTGCAACTTCGCCTAAATTTGGTAAGGGGCATTTCTAGTGTTTTCCCTCCATTACACTTATCTAAATGTGAAAATAACTCGAGCATTCCACTCCTTCGATGGTCATACTCTTCATTACAAGGTGTGACGCCTTCCACTGTTTGTTCTAACAACTTCCCTGTCTCTCACGTGTCTGTCCTTCTTGCTGCTGACCTTCCTGTCTGGTCTGACTTCTAGAGGGCATAGGTATTTTGGACATTGGTGTTCTGCACCTCCTGCCCCAGGGAATCTCTCCTTCTTTTCAGTTTGTGCTACAAGTAGGTCTGAGAAGATTATTGCTTTGAGATGAATTAGCTTTGATTATACTCACTTAAAGACCCATATAAAAATGTGCCGTAAGTCGAACTTTTGTCAGACTTTCCATCATATTGATCAAAAAAACAAATTCGACAGGAACGCTATCCAGACATTTAAAATTCCTCACACATTGCACATTTCTTTGAAGTTTTCTTTTCCTATTGGACAAGCCTCAGCGAGGGCTACTCTGGAGAAGGGCTTGCCTGATATTTGGCCGTTGCTTTTATTTTTTATTTTTTTATTTTTTTTAAAAATATGTATTTATTTGACAGAGACACAGTGAGAGAGGGAACACAAGCAAGGGGAGTGGGAGAAGGAAAAGCAGGCTTCCCACTGAGCAGGGAGCCCGATGCGGGGCTCAATCCCAGGACCCTGGGATCATGACCCGAGCCAAAGGCAGACGCTTAATGACTGAGCCACCCAGGTGCCCCTGGCAGTTGCTTTTAACTTAATTCCCACATGTGAATGAGTAGACTTGGGGGCCAGGCCTCCTGCTCCTCAATCTTCTGTGTTACTGGATATTTCCAAGTGTTAGTATGACAGTAGGCTTACATGCAATAGTAATTGAACACCACAAAGTTGTAGATAATCAACTTACCTGATTTTTGACCTATTCAGATTGGACTGAAGTTATATTGTAAAACTGGGTATTATGAAAGATTAGGAACAAAAGAAAGTTAATTTTTCTATTATTTAATTCATATTGATGTGCCCACACTCAGGTTCCCCTTCTCCTTCTGCCCCACCCCCCCCTTTTTTTTGAATGACCAAATTCCCGTGCTGAAGGAAACAAAAACAGTGATAAATAGGTAGCTAGGTAAAAGAGAAGATATGATAACCTATAAAATAGAGTCTTGTTACTGTTTTTTTTGTTTTTTTTTTTTTAACGAATCAAAATTCCTACATAAAGTGTTGGGATGGTATTTTCTTTGTAATAAAGTTTAATTGTATTTTTTTTTCATGCCAGGTGGGTGGAATGTTTGACACTGTGCAGAGGAGCACCCAATGGACGACAGACTGGGCCCTTCTCCTACTCCAGATCATTACTTCTGGAACTGTTGACATGCACACTAACAAGTATGTTCTTACTTCACACGTAGTATGCTGCACATGTGCATGGTAGAAGCTTTGATATCCTGACTACAAACTGTGTCACATCTTATTAGTTACCATGAAAAGTTCTGTGCCTTAAATAAAAATGCTATTAGTTAAGAATATCTTGGTTTTGCTTTAAGGTGAAAATAATTATTTTTTCCCCCCTTAGTGAATTATTCACAACAGTTCTTGACATGCTGGGTGTTTTAATCAATGGAACCTTAGCCTCAGACCTATCAAATGCATCCCCAGGGGGATCTGAAGAGAACAAACGTGCATACATGAATTTGGTAAAGAAACTGAAAGTAAGTTTGTGACCTATTTATATATCATGATCTCAGATAGTTTATGCATTAGTTATTTACTGCATTTCATCTTAATTTACTGTGTTAAGTTAGATGTTATGTGGTTATTTTGCTATTTGCTTTACCTCAGCTTCCTAGTACTCAAAAGTTATAAGCATATAGCTTGAAGATATTTCTTAAAAAAATTATATTCACAAAATATTTAACTTTTTAAGGAACTTTGGAAATTTACTGTCAAATGTGTAACAAAAATGCCCACATTGGATTTAGGATAAACCATGCTTAGACTGGCACCTATAATTGAAAAATAATCATTTGCATTGATATTTCTAAACCCAATTCATTTGACTAACCAGTAATGCAATCTTTGAAATAAACGGTAAACAAAGGGTGCAGAAAAGAAAAAAGATCAATATATCTAACGACCTTATCAATAAAATAACCAACATTACCTTGAGGTTTGACCCTGGATTTGAGAATGTGTTCTGTGCTGCAGCTTCTGCCTTCTGCTGGCAAATACTACACGGGATTTTTGTCATTTCAGCACTGTGATATTTGTTGTGTAACCAGGGTCCCATTGTATGTGTTCTATTTTCTACTTAAATAGAAGAAATGAAACATACTCACTACTCTAATTGAAAGCTGCATCATAGACCATGTTCAACGTTAAAGAACATTCTGGCTATAAAAAAGGAAATGTTTCAAAGAGAAACTTCCTTCTTACCAACTTTTGCCTTCGTTGTAATTTCTGTCCCACTTCTCTATCTCTTTTTGTTTTGTTTGTTTGTTTGTTTTTTTAGAAAGAGCTAGGAGACAAGAGATCAGAAAGTATTGACAAAGTTCGACAGTTGCTACCTTTGCCAAAACAGACATGTGATGTCATCACTTGCGAACCTATGGGTTCCTTGATTGACACTAAGGGAAACAAAATTGCTGGATTCGACTCTATAGATAAAAAACAGGCAAGAGTAAATGTTTGTTTCTTGTATATATTTTCTCATCTTCCTATAGGGTATATGAGACACCTCAATTTTACAGTTTCTTGATTTTTTTAAAGCATAGTCTTATCATTTAAATGCTTTGGTCATTGGCGTTATTATATAGATAAATTCATTTAAAACTTTATGTGAATTTAAGTGAATTTCTGAAACCCGCTGAAGGAAAACTAAGTAAAAATGTATTGTTAAGGGGCATCTGAGTGGCTCAGTCAGTTAAGCGTCTGCCTTCAGCTCAGATCGTGATCCCGGGGTCCTGAGGGCTGTGGGATCGAGCCCAGCCCCTGCCTCTGCTCAGCGGGGAGTGTACTTCTTCCTCTTCCTCTGCCCGCCCCCCCAACTCATGTGTGCACATGTACTCTCTCAAATAGATAAATAATATGTTTTTTTAAAAATGTATTGTAAAAATAAAAGAAGGCAAAGACCAGGTCTGATTTTACTTCAGAGTTGACACCAATACGTTTAGATAAGAAAATTTTGATTGATAAAGTCTTCATGTAGTAAGCTATTTTGAGTAAAAAAAAAAATATTTTTAGGGTGATGGTACTTAATTTTCTTCCCTGTTGAACAATACTTCATCGAACACTTGTTTTATGTAGGATATTAAGCAAGGTTCCCTTAAATACGAGAAGAATGATTATTCGTTTAATGAACATTGAGCAACCACAGAGAGAAAAGAGCTCTTACCTTAAGCAGAAGTAGATAGACAATCACAGTGTGGTGAGATCTGTGTGTCATGATACAAAGTGTTAGGGGACCCTGAGAAGGAGCCATCACCCTCAGATAAGGAGTAGGTGGTCAGAATAGGGCCCCCCAGAAAATTCACACTTAAATTATTTTGAAGGATTAAGAGTTAGTTGGGAAATAGGGAAGTGGGTGATACAGACCAATGGAAGAGTTTTCCTAAAGGTATGAAAGAATATGGCTCTTAGGAGAAATGCAATGCTACATTAATTCAGAGTAACCTGAGTACTTTTACCAGTGTGATTGTGGAGACAGAAAAAGCTAGTGTTATGGGCAGTTTGAGTTTGCTGGGTCATTGGGCTCTCTAGTGGTGAGAAATCTAGAAACCATTTGGATATATGGTCTTTGCACCTAGGAAGAGGCCTAAGCTCAAGACAGTATTAGGACACAGTCAATTTATACATAGTAAATGAGCCTTGATGTTGGATAAATCCATCCATGAAAGAGTTGTGTAGGTAAGAACAGGAGCATTCATATCTTATGGAATGCCTGAATAGTTGTTTTGGGGGGTCATTCTGAGGAAAAATATTTTCAAGTTGGTATGCCAGGGAAAGTACCAAGAGACATCACCAGTTAATGTTAAAAATAAGAAACCTTTATTTTCAGAAACAGAGTAACATTTCCTCTTCTAAACCCAGTAGAGATAAGCTTGAATTAAAAGACTTTATTTGTATCTGTTGGTACAAGTTACTTCTGTAGTAATATTCTTTAACTATTCAGAAGCTGGCTTATTAAGTGCGTGAAAGATTCCTGTACTGAATCAAGCCCATACATGTTTGGATTGAAGTTAATTTGAGCTCAATTAGAAGTTGACTATAACTTGACTCTGAAGTTTTGTTTTATCTCAAAAATAACAAAATTAAAAAAAAATGGAATCCAAAGGGTTATAATTTATAATTTAATAAAGTAAGATCAACATTGCAGTACTTTTTAGAAAGTGTTTTTTCCTAAAAACAAAACAAAACAAAAAAACCCTAAATGCAAAATACCAATTTACCGTAAAATATACTGGAGCATCTGGTGTTGCAGCCTGAACAGATTATCATGTGGTCTAAAGAACTGCAGAATTGAACTTAAAGGTCTGAATTCTAGCTGCAGCTCTCTAGTTATCTAGCTGTGAAACCCTGAACCAGCACATTTACCTGTCTGCTGTATGTTAGGGCACTCTAAGCCTCACCACCCCAGCCAGAATGTTCTTTGCATCCATGTCCTAAGCAGGCTTGGCCTCTGAGTCAGGAAAAGATCTGAACGTGAGGTCATAGAGCATTATCTCAACCACAGGGTCTTCAGGTCTCTACAAAGCAGAAGGTGTCCCCGTGGGATTTGTTTGAGGGTCAGAAGAACCCAGCTCCTCTGTCCTGGGCCTGGTTCGGGACTGTCCGAGTGGACCGAAAGGTGATCAAGTACGAGGAGCAGCATCACCTGCTGCTGTATCACACACACCCTATGCCCAAGCCCCGAAGTTACTACCTCGAGCCACTGCCCCTGCCTCCCGAGGAGGAAGAGGAAGAGCCCACATCTCCCGTCTCTCAGGAACCAGAGAGGAAATCAGCTGAACTGTCAGATCAGGGGAAAACCGCAACAGACGAGGAGAAGAAAACAAAGGGAAGGAAGCGCAAGACGAAATCAAGCTCAAGAATTGATGTGAGTATGAGAAGTCAGGAAGTCTTTGGCTCATTAACACCTGGTAGGAGATTTAATCATGCCCAGAGTCTATCTCTAGCTACAGGAAAAGCATTAGAAGCCTTATTGTAATAGTTGTAATCCTAATAAAGCTCTGTCTTAATTAATAGAACGGCACATGAACAGTGACTTGTCACAGACAACAGGATTATAGCTTCTGATTTTTCCTTCTCTCCTGTTCATTAATTTTAGGCTTCTCTTGTGAATAATCTTTAATTAATATTTCAGTGCCTCATAATTTCTCACATTTAAAACTTGAATTTCTTAGATCCCTAAAATCTTATCTTCTTGCATATTTTTATTATCTCATGTCTAAAATATTTATCATCATTTGAGCAGTTGACACCTGTAGTAAATTAATGTGAAAAACTGCTTGCATTTCCTAGCTAGCATGCCATCGAATACATCCAGTAGGATGTTTCTGAGATTTCATATTTTACCATTCTATCTTATTTTCCTGTATATTTTACTTCTTTAACATACTTTTAGACTATATAGAAGACAAACACAATTTTAAAAAGTTTCATTCCTTTTTTCCCTATTAGCCTTCCCTACCTATACCAACATTTTCTTGAAAACAACAGAAATCTATGAGATGATAACTTGGAAATAATTTTGTAGCATTTATAGAACTAATGTTTAAGAATATCTTTACATTTAAATTCACCTGGAAAATACTTGAGAGAGAATTTGAAACAGTTTTGTATAGAGTTCAAGGGTATTCTTGTACAATGGAAGAAATATTCACGATTGAGTGGTCAGATGTCTTGTTTTATTATTATTATTTACCTATGTCAGAACCAAAACATATCTTTTCCTAGCTGATAGCTTGGTGATTAATATTTTTCTAGAGAAGGTCACCATCACTTTTGGATGCCACTTGAATGGTAGTGCCCTCTTTTCATATGGTCTTCCTACCGATCTTCCTTTGTCTTGAAGAGGTCCAGGCTGTAACTCCCTAAAATCTGGACCCTCCTAGCCCATCAGTCCACATGGATAGGTTTCTGTTTTTTTTCAGATACAAAAGTCCTAAAACTTCTCTCATTTCCTGACTGAGTCCTGGTAATGTCCATTCCTCCCATACTACTTCTGGAACTGCCCCTACACAGTGGGTTATATTTCAGAGATCCAAGGTTTTGTTTTTCCTTTATCCTTTAGGGCTAGACTAAGAGAAGGGGGGGTGGAGGATGGCAGGGGAATTGAGACATCTGGGTGTGAACCTTAAAGACTTTGCATCTCTTATAAGGAAGACCAAGCCTGGTGGGGGCGGGGAGCGGGGTGCAGGCAGATGGTGGAGAGTCTGTCTTTAGGTTGCTGCCTTGAAAACTGGAAATAAGATACTGTTTTGGCCAGGGATTGGTTCTGAAATATATTGGGTCCTTCTGGCCTCATTCTCATCCGGACCCAACATATCAGGATGTCTTACTAAGGTGACCTAAGATGAAATAATCTCCAGAGACTTAGCATCTGAAGATTCACTTTCAGTTGTGGGCAGTGGTCAATGTTGATGTACTTTTAGTATTTTAAAAAACAAACTTCAGAGTGATCCCTTTACATCTTCCCTTCACTTCTTAAGTCAAGTACTTCTTAAGTCAAAAGTTTTCACTCAAATGAGTGTTTTGCAGAGAACATGCTGACACTCTTGCCTTCCATCTTCCCCTCTATAAAAACCGCCTTGTCCACTGGGATAGCAGCTGGCTCAAGTAATGTGATAAGAATTTGCATTCATCATTTATATAGTTTATGGAGTTAAATAACTTTTTTTTTTTTAACTTTATGTTGAAGGAGTATCCACAGAGCAACATATACCGAGTGCCTCCTAACTACTCACCCATTTCCTCCCAGATGTTGCACCATCCACAGTCCACCTTGTGGGGCTACAACCTCATGGGTCAGCCCCAGCAGCCGGGTTTTTTCCTTCAGAACCAATCTCTTACTCCAGGTATGTGAAGAGAGAGTACGGTCGGGTCACTCTGAGATGTGAAGTAGCTTGGGGTTTCCTTTATTTTTAACCTGAAATCTTCACAAAACGTGGAAACTGCAAGAATTGAATACTCAGTTGACATTTCTGTAATCCCTCCCATTTGAAATGTTTTTTCTTCTAAAATATGGTTTTTTTTTTAAATGAGTCTTTTAATCTATTGTTGATTGTCACATACATGAATATATTCTAATTGTAAGAATCAAATACCTGAGCATATAGAGTAATTTAATATGTGACCAATTCTGGATTATTTCTCAAGTGTTAAAATACAGTTTTAATTGCTAGGTTATGTTCTGAGTTGGGAGTTTTCATTGAGTATTAGAAGGAAATTAAATATATAAAATTGATAAAAGTTGTATGTTGTGAAATTTGTGTTTTTATCAGATATTCTTATCCGTGTTTTTAAAAATTAGACAGTATTGCACAGTATCTTTATTTTTTTATGTTTTGAATTATAAATTGTTGATACTGAGAAGTATCTAAGAAATTTGGTTCAGCAGGTAGATTGAGATATCAAAGAAGGAAAACTACTGAATCTGTAGTAAATGTTCCTGATTTTAGTATGGCTTTCATTCAAGCCCAAGTAGACTTTATATCTGAAATGAACGTTCCCTAAATAAAAAAATCTCTTACTTAGAAATGACTTTAATTTTTTTTCTAAATGAAAATTTGCTTGTTCAACAAAATAGTGTATTTTGAGATCTTAGTCTGCATGTTGTGATTTTTATTGTAATTCAAGAATGACATTTTGAGGCCTAGGAAAAGACATTGTTTGATTCTTGGCTTACAGCAGGCGAGAATCCCTATTTTGTCCTCTAAATTAGAGGTTGAGAGGGCTGGTCTAGAAGTTACAGTTCTAGGTTCAGGTCTGGCTCAGCCACTCTCCTGCTGTGTAATCTTGACCAGTTCTTAATTTCTCTGTTCCTCAGTTTGGTTATCTGTAAAAGAGATATTTTAATATATGCCCTCATAGAGTAGGTGATTCAATTATTTATTCAACAAAATATATTGAACTTCATAATGTTCCAGACTCTGTTGTGGGTGATAGGATATTGCAGTATACAAAATGAGTAAAAATGTTCATTCTTCTTTGAATGATGAAATAAGGGTTATATTATACATGAACACACATACACACAACTGTGTGTATGTGTGTGTAACTTAAATTTCGAAAATGTAGCACATAGAAGATGGCCTAACCCAGCAGACATGTTCAGCAAATGATCTTAACATATTCCCACCTCAGGGCTTTTGTACCTGCTGGCCCCCATGCCTGGAGTGCTCACCATTAGATATTTTACATGGCTCACTGCCTCCCTCCTTTGGGCTTGGTCAGATACCATTTTCTCAGTGGGCTTCTACTGACCACCCTCTTTTATAAATGGTAAGCTACACCCCTTCCATGCACCTTATTCCCCTCTCCTTTCTGTTTCTCCATAGATGAGCACGTGGTTATATGCTATATATTTAACTTGTTTATTATCGGGCTTTCCCGCAATATAAGCTCTGTTGGGGCAGGTATGTTTTCTGTTTCCTTCACTGTAGTGTCCTCAGAACTTAAAGCAACCTTGGGCTTTTAATAAGCTCTTAAAAATAGGTTGTTGAATGAATGAATGTAGACTATAAAGAGTAAACTAGACAATGGTAAATGTGGAAAATGATACATATTTTCTCATTTGACTTTTCTCTTTTCAGTTCCAAAGTGCTTGTGAATTTTTTAGCCTTTTTAAACACTGATTCAGTATGAGTTGAAGGCTAAGTATTTTATAAAGACCTATACTTTCTTTCCCTAGAATACTATAAAAGGTGTTTATAAGTTAAGGAAATTTAGATATTAGGTAAGTTTTAAGTATGATGACATGTAAGAAAAATGTTAAAGAAAAGAAGCATTTATAGGGATTTCATATGTGTAAATTGATTTTTGTAAAAATATGAATCCTATGAAGTTGAAGAGTGCGTACAGTATGCTTTCAGTCATATGTAGTTAAAATGCAAAGCAGTATGCCCCCTCAAAACAGATGTGTGTACATACAAACGCACCTACCCGTCTACAATTTCTCTTTCTCATGTATACACAGCAGTGTGGTAAAGTTATAAGGAATTGTTTGGGAATATTAAACACCATATTCAGAATAGCATTTGGTGAGAAAAGGTGAGGAAAGTAATTAGGAATGTGCAGAGGGCTTCAGGGATACTTACTATATTTCTTTAGTTGGCTCAAAGGTACAAGATTATAAAAAAGTTAGGAAAATTAAAAGAAAATGGACGATGGCCTAATCCTTAGAAAGAATCTCCTTTATCTATAAAATGAGTCCATTAAGTTTTTATGTATTAGTACAGTTCCAGTTCTTGCTTCAACAAAAGTTACCTTGCCATATATTACTTAAATTGACTTTCCTCTTTTTTTCCTAATGTTCTTCAAATGCTGCTGATTTCATAAATCACATTGCTGGTGTGGTTCTGAGTCTTTAAAAGAATGTGGGTTTTCAGCTTTAAAATGTTTGTTCCCACCGTACAACTTACTTTAAAAAAACATAAAACATCTTTTGTGAGATAATTATATTTATATAGAGGATTTCTTACATATATATTAAGGAATATAAACTGTCTGGTAAATGAGTGATTGACACCTCATTTGAAGCCAGCAAATGTTGAAATTTTTTTCCCCAAACTCTTAAAGGCATTTGACAAACTATATATGCAAGTATGTTAAGGATTGCCTTTGGTTTCTCAGGCATCACTATAATCAACGTCTCCTGTTTGATTTCAAGCCTTCAAAAAGCTGTGTTTTGTCTTTTGAGTCATGGTATTTGAAGTTTCCAAGCGTTTCAAGTTTTGAAAGTATTTTCATGCCAGTCTATGACGAAAGAGGCATTTTTATTTTGCCATGGTAAAGAAACTTAAATACCATGAGCTTCAAATTTGTTTAAAATGACAAAAGAGTTTCTATGACTGGCTTAGGACACTTGGCAAAATATACCACGAAGGCAGTACACTTTATGCCGGTAATGTATTCCCCAGGGCCTTGCATAATTTAAAACCCACGTGATTCGAAATCATGCCCACGAATTCTTTTCAGGCATTTCAGTTGATCAGTCAAAGTGGGGCCTCCGTGAAATCATTGAAATACTATAATTCACGCCTACATCACCGTCCCCATCCTTTGGGAATTATGCAGTTCTCAACATACCTGTAATTTTTGTATGGTGTGTGGCGGGGCCTTATTTTCCATTCGCTCATAAAGTGAGGCTTAGAAGGTAAGGTTTCCATGTTTTGATAAAATAAGGAAGACCTGTGGCGTTAACACACGTAGAGAGCCCTTCTTTCTGGTTGCTTTTGTAGGTGGCTCCAGACTGGACCCCACGGGCTCCTACGTCCCCACCAACACCAAGCAAGCTCTGTCCAATATGCTGCAGCGGCGCTCAGGCGCCATGATGCAGCCACCTCCGCTGCACGCCATCACCTCGCAGCAGCAGTTAATACAGATGAAGCTTCTGCAGCAGCAGCAGCAGCAGCGGCTTCTCAGGCAAGCCCAGGCTCGACCTTTCCAGCAGGTTTGTCCAGATCCAGCAGTGGAGCCCTCTGCCTTTTGTTAGCGCCTCTAGCTAGGCATGAGTGTGGGGTATGGGGCGTATTCTTCCTGCCCGTGTATCCCTGAAATCTCGTGTGAATGCAGGTATAGCTCTCCTACAGGTTTATACCTCTCGTGTATTTTACTGTTATCATTGATCAAATAGGAACTTGAAGTATCTTAGGTTCATGAAAAGTACGCCTTAAAGCAATAAGAGCTAAGACTCTCTAGTCCCCGAGAAGCAGTTTTTTTTCATCCCTGGAGTGACCCTAACTGAGCACTCATTCCCTGTAATTATCACCATATTCTGTACTCCTTTTAGCTCCTACTTTTGTTTGTTATTATTAGATTGATCATTCTGAGGTTGTATCTCTAAAGTCCTGATGTTTCTTAGGTTTTTCCCTACAGTGCCCTGCATAGACTATTTTCAGTATGTGTTTAATAGGTCTATAGGAAAGAATATATTACAAATCATAGTCAGTTTGTGGATACCTTCAATTTCATTCTTGATTTATATCATTGCTATTTTTATGCCCTCTAACTCAGTTTTATTTAACTTTTGAGATGACAGTGATTGTTCAACAAAACAGTGGTGGGAATCCTACACAGATTACTATAGGCTCATGAAGCCCACAGATCTGTACAAATAAATAAAATAGAAAAAGAGGAGGTGAGATTGGGACCCCCCTCCCCCGCCATTTCTATATACTTTTTGTACTTTCCAATTTTTCCAAAAAATGCACTATTTTAATGAGGATGAGGAGGATAATAGTAGCAGCTAACACTAATAGAGCACTTACTATTTGCCAAAACATTTCTAAGCGCTTTAAATGTATTATCTAAGATCCCACACAACCCTGGGATTTAGGTACTTTTTTGAACCTCAAAGGAAGTAAACAATCCACAGGTGTATCCTGCTCTAAGAAAAACCATAAAACTTTGAAATTAGCAAGAAATCCTGATGCTTTAAAAAATATCCTTTATATTTTGTGTAACTTTCTCGGCATATCTCCATTGTATAACTTATGGCACTTTTGCATTCAGTCCACTTAGTGATTTGGGGGGCTGGAGGTGGGATGGTTAATTGTACATTCTTTAAAATGGTTGTTTTTACCTATATTATAAGAAGGACAGGAGAAAGGAAATAGGCCAACTGTATGGGAATGCAACCAACAGTCACTGCATGCTTGTCTCTCCCTGACCTCTAGCATAATTGCTCAAACTCCCTGGGTGTCAGGTAAGATGGGCCTAAGTTGCTTCTTACACAGAAATGATGAAGATTTGCTTAAAATACTAAGAAATACTTATTTTGCTTAAATAAGCAGCATGTTTGGAGCCATTTAAAAACCTTAGGGGGATTTTAGCTATTCTTGAGGATGAGCAAAAATAGTTATTACCTTTGTTTCAGATCTTGTCAAGATTAAAAAAACTTACTGTAAGTTGAGTAACCATCCCACCAGGATGAATTCAATTCCCTTTTAAAGTAATTTAGCCTAAGTAAAAATTTACCTTCCACTAAGGTTAGTTTTTCATATCTACCTTTTTATCACAAGGTATAATTTGTCTTACTAATAGCTCACTTTCAGACTGTTACTGCTAAGTTTAGTTTTGAATTGTTCTAAGTGATTCCTAGCATTGGGGAAAACTCGCTGGCCCATTTATAGTTAAACATGCTTTTCCTCTAAAGCACGTTTTTTTTTTTTTTTTTTTAAAGGAATTGAATAGAATAACCTACATATAATCAAAGATTCTTGCATATTTGCCGAAGGCAAGCTTATGACATAGAATGTACCTGCAGGAACCCATTACTTCTACATTTTTCCTCAAAACACCTAAAAGTACCTGACTATTCTTTTACACCATGTAGAGTTGTATTGCTTGTACTAATAAGAGTTAACGTATAGTTTGTTTTTTTCTGGTTCTTTTTGCCAACTGTTTCTTTCCTTTTCCTTTTCTTCTCATTATTTTTGTCCTACCTTCCCCCCCCCCCTTTTTTCTTTTTGAGAAGTCAGGAATTCCTTCAGGCAGTAAAAATACAACTTCATAACAGTGATTGTACAATATTTACCTTCTCCTATCCCCCAATTTTTTTAACAGTTGGTTGAAACTTGCTTTACTATCTCTAATGGGCTTTCAGAAGCAGACATTTTTTTTTTTCTTTCACCATTCTTCAAGTGTTGGATACTTGAGGGAAAATAATATTCTTCCAAGGAAGTGAAATACACCCATGGTGCAGTAAGAGGGTTCAGTGGTCCCACCTAGAATCAGTGAGGTTACATGTAGCTTTTGCCAGAGTGCCTGCACCTAGGAGGTCTGGGGGAAATGTTAACTCCTTTCCTCTCATGTACAAACGATTAGTATACCTTATAAGTATACCTGCCACAACACCTCATAAATAAGATTGTGGCAGGAAAAAATTCTCCTTGTGGTAATCCTTAAACTGGAATAAAGGCAGCATTATATGGAATATAAGCAATATTGATAAGTTGTTTTAATACATGGTTGTGGATGTGGTTGTTTTTCTACTAAGTTCTGACCTATATCCTTCATGATAAGAAATGATAGAGAAATGTTGATTCTAATTTTGGCCAGGACCATTTTCTCAGGTCACATGCCTGCATGTAATGTGATTCTCTCTAGCTATGTAAGAACTTGTCATGTCATTTTTTCTTATGAAATAGAATTCATTTTTCTTCTTATCCTAGCAATTTTCTAATTATAGGAATCCATTTTCTTAAATGTAGCAAATGTGTTAGAGAATTTTCATTGATCTTAACCTTCAAAACTGATTTTTGGAATTTTAGCAGATGCTTATTTTAAAGACTGATGAGTTTTTCTAAGCGTTGGATGTGACCGCTCCCTAGGCCAGTTGTCCAATAACCACCCCATGGTAGCCCCTCGTCTGATAAGGTCAGACACTGGGTCTTATACCCTGTATTGTCTTTACATCTAGTGAGCAGAGAGTAGGAATTTATGAAAGGTTTATCAAGTGAATGCATGTTTTGAGAAACTATTTCCAGGAGCCTAGAGCTTCCTAGTAGCCTTAATCCTTAGCAGTCTGATTTTTATCTACAAACTCAGCTGTCCTGAGTACTTCCAGAAACTTATTCCAGAAGTGACTTCTGCTGTGGTTCTTTTGAAAACCTAGATGGGGCAGGGAGGACATAAATTCCTGGATTCTGGATATGTCTCAGACCGTACAGAAGAATCCCCTTAGCCTCTTCCCACCTTAATGGAAAGAAGCTGATATACCTAGGAATCATCTAGCCTTAGATGGTGCACAGTGAAAACTACAATATCATTATATAATAACTCTGTGTCCGCTGCAGAAACTGAACATCTGCTTCAGTTGGTCATGGAATTTTCTGTTATGGACCATTCTTGTATTTCCTAAAGAATGTATTAAGACATTGGTGTAGTGTCTAGAAAACAGATGGTAAATAGCATGGGCATTGTTAAGTATTTTTAATCAAATTGTTTGATGCAATGGTTATAATTGAGTGGACTTTCTTATGGCTCTAGTACATACCGGTATGCATAAGGATGTTTTGGCAAGGAAACTTGTTTTCATTCTTTTTAGTTAGACTTTTTATCCAGGAAAGTAAAAATGATCACTCTCCATTCCTTACTCAGTGTCTCTTATTTAAAGGGGACTCAATGTAGCGAATATGTCCCCTTTCTGTGCCACAAAGCCTCATCTATAAAATGGACCTAATGCAATATTTACTTTAGAGTTCTTGTGAAATTAATGTTTTAATATACATCACAGCCCTTACAACAGTGGCTGGCTCATAGTAAGTGCTCAAAAAATGTTAGCTGTCATACTTGTTAATGTTTTATTAGTATCATGAATGTATTATTTCAGAGGAAATCTCTATCCCATAAAAATGATTTTTATTAAATATGTTAAGGATTAAAAGAGAATAAAAACACTTCAAATGCTTTACTTCTGTCATTATATTAATTGTCCCTAATAAGACTGGTGCTCAGCGGCTGCCCATAGAAGAAGCCAGGAAGAAGGAATGTTGTTTAGTTTTCCTAATAGTACCATTTTAGTTTCTTAAAGCAGCGTATTTTGATTGTCTAAATTCTGTAATACAAACTTGAGAGGGGCTGATTCCGATTTCAGTGTTTAAAATATCGCTGTTATATTTTCTGCATATCCTATGGAAATCCTCACAAAATATAGAATATTAGTGAAAATAATGCAAAATGCTGCTTAAATTGTTTTCCAGTCCTCTTTCTTACATCCAATATTTTTCTTCTGACAGAAGGAACTTCCTTCATCACCACCCCCCCTCACTTATCCCCTGCCACACACACCATATCAGTTTTCTAGGGAGGGGGCTTTTGGAGGGAATCTTTAAGTTTTGGTCCATGAAAAGGACTTAATTGTTTGCCTTGTTTTATGGTATAGCTTTATCCTAATTTACCCCCTTTCAGTGCACAAAATCATTCTGCTGTTCTTTGTAGTAGTCAGTGCCAGCCAGTTTATTTTAATAGTCCAAAGAAAGACAATATGTTTAGCTTACATTTGGCTGAGACAAATTTGGAAGAATGCAATTGATTAAAGGCTACAGATAATCATATAGATATTGATGACATTAAAGAGGAAGATTTCTGACAGAGGAGGGAGATGATGTGCCCAGTAATAGCTAGTGGTTACTTGTAAGAACGTTAGGTTATTAACCACGGGGCAGGTGCTATCATTGTGTATCTAAATGAAGGAATTAGATAGCTTAAAGAAAGATCAGTGGCTGAGTCAGAGCCTCCCAAGCTCCCTGGCAAAAGTCAGTCTGTAACATCCTGAAAACATGACTCTGGGATTGATGAAACCCATTTAAGCTGAGCGGCTGCCCTTTGGGAATTGACCTCCTACCCTAGGGGCAGAGCGTCACCTTGGAATATCTGCGCTGAGCGGCTGCCCTTTGTCTGGGAATTGACCTCCTACCCTAGGGGCAGAGCATCACCTTGGAATATCTG